TTGTAATAAGCATGGGGAGCTTGTGAAGTCTTTAATTTAATTTTGTTCTTTTTGTTTTTGGTCACTCTGATCTGGTTGTGTCTTGAGTTATTTTAGGACTTGTTGCTAAGCTGTTCTGGCAAACTCTAGCCTCAATTCCTACTTTTGTGAGTGGGTATGTGTATCTAAACAACAAATCAAGGGGAACAACTCGGTTTGGATTGCTATGGAATTGTCTTAAAAATATATGTACATCTGAAATAGAGGAGAGTTGGATTGAAGGACTGCGTTACTAGTTCCATGGGCCTAAACTGGAGCAGGACTTGTGTTTCTCACACAGCAACCTCAAACACAGGAAGCTTCTTTTGAAAGAGAGGGGAATTTCAAAAGTAGTTTATGGAACCTGGGGTGTGTACCTGTGCCTGCCTGTTTGATTGCCAAAGATACTACTGAGCTAACACTTGGGTATGTGTAAATTAGCTTTTGCATCCCAGCCCTTGTTTATTTCTCTAAAATAAAGAGAACTTGCCCATATTATATATTATTTTGTGGGAAAGGTAAGACCTGTTTGCTGTTTTCAACTACTTGGTTCCTCAGAACTCTGCTTTATAATGCCCCCCTTAACAAATCCCACAATGTCCTGCAAATAGGTAGTGCTATTGAGTGCAGCAAAAACAGCATTATACGTGTGTGTGTGTGTGTGTGTGTGTGTTCCTGGTTGCTACTATGTAACACACCACCGTGTCTGAGGATTATTGCATGTAGTCTCAAACGTGTGTGAGCTGCCCATGTTCGGACTTAAGTTCCTCACTGCCTCTGCAAAACCCCCTTCTCCCGGTTATTCGAGTGGATTTAAGGCCTCGAGGAGAGATGGGTCATACACTGTCCTGTGTGTCAAATGTGCTTGCTGTGTGTTGAAGTGCTGGCTGCTGTTATGACGTAAACCTAGGTGTGAAAATGTGCTGTTTGCAGACTATCCTAGAAAATCTGGGTTTCTTACACAATGTGCATAGCAAGTTTCTTTTTTCCTACTAGTGTTGTGCTTGGCCATTTTGGTGTACAATTTATGTATCCCATCTTGGGGAGGCTTCTTATCATTTTTGTTTTCAATTATGTGAGCATAAAAATTACTTAGGGCTGATATTGAGGTACATCAACTATAAACATGCTTTATTTTCAGACTGTTCTAGGAATTTGGGTGTCCTGGGCTCCTTGAGTGTCTAGCTCCTAGGTTCTGAGGAATAACTTTAGCCATACTGAGGTACACTTGTAGTATCCCCATAACATTGCTTGTATTAAGGGAATGATGTTACTAGTGGCAGCTGAAATAGATATTCAGGATGTGAGCCATATTTGCTAGTAAAGCTATAATAATAAAGCTCAGTACAGTATTGCAGTACAATGGCTTCACAATATTTTGCTGACTATAGTGAAATTGCTGCCAAGGGACAGTGTCTGTAGTAGCAGTAGAAGAAGAAAAAGAAGATTTTTTTGGGGGGGGAGGGGAGGGAGTACTTAAAAGGTAAGAAGCTTTAAGACCACAGTTTGTATAGCCTGGGTTCATTACCCACCAACAGCATTTGATGCCTGTGGAATATTTTCTGTCACTAGCCTTTGCAAGTTCTCAAATGAACATCACTTAGGTTGGTGGGTTGAGTTAACCTGCATTATGATATCATTGTGTGAAGCATGCTTGAATTTCTTGCCAATGAAGACCACCTGGGAAATAAAGGGACATGGTCCCCACTGTTTTTCAGTATCTTCTAAAACAATATAACCATTACTAGTCTTATCTAGAAGGTGAATGTTGGTGTAGTTCCTTAGTCATATGATCAGCTCATCCTCCCAGGCCATTCCTGAGGTCCAGGCTCACCATGCTATAGTGGCCCCCAAATCGTTGGATAGCGCTTGCATTTCTCCACTGTGCAGTTAGGACTGGGGCAGGTCCCTTCCTGCATGTGCCCAGCATCTCACTGCTCACTTGGTCTGTAGGAGCCACACTGTCCAACACCAGCTCCTCCCATTAGAATTAAGAGCACTGCATCATTTTTAAATGACTATGCAAATCATTATGCACCACAGAAACATATGCTGAGCATATTCAGACGATTGATTAATTTCCTCACCAAACTTTAAGCATTTCCCTTGTCCACCGTTACTACTCGTACTTTCAAACTCTACTATATAGACTCTGGGCACTGTGTATTTGGTCTTTCAGAAAGGGTTTGACAAAGTACTTCACCAAAGACTCCTTGGTCAGCTTAATCGTGGAATAAAAGGAGAGGTCCTCCTACTGTTCTACAAATAATTAATTAACTAATTAAGGAACATGAAGCAGACAGCAGGAATAAATGGGCAGTTCTCCCAATTAAGAGATCAGCATTGGGACATGGGCTTTTAAACTTGATTATAAATTATAAAAGTGAGCAGTATAGTAGCTGAGGTTGCTAATGGTACCAAGTGGTTCAGGGTGGTTAAAACAAAAAGAGATTGCAAGGAGATCCAAAGTGATCTATCCAAATTGGCGGAATCATACTAGAACCCAGGACCATAGTATGAAGCTAAATGTTGGAAGACTCAGGACAGAACTTAAGATAGAACTTCTTCATGCAGTGAATAGTTTTAACTTTGACAAAGAAGTAGTGGTGACCATTACTGTGATTGGCTTCAAAAAAGAATTCCGCTTCCCCCGGACCTCTTCTGAAGCAAGGGGCTGGGGGGAGATAGCGATCTCCCTGCAGCCCCTTGCTGCAAAAGACGTCGGGGGAAGCGGGGAAGCGAAGCGCTTCGCTTCCCCGCTTCCCCCGGACCTCTTCTGAAGCAAGGGGCTGGGGGGAGATAGCGATCTCCCTGCAGCCCCTTGCTGCAAAAGACGTCGGGGGAAGCGGGGAAGCGAAGCGCTTCGCTTCCCCGCTTCCCCCGGACCTCTTCTGAAGCAAGGGGATGGGGGGAGATAGCGATCTCCCTGCAGCCCCTTGCTGCAAAAGACGTCGGGGGAAGCGGGGAAGTGAAGCGCTTCGCTTCCCCGCTTCCCCCGGACCTCTTCTGAAGCAAGGGGATGGGGGGAGATAGCGATCTCCCTGCAGCCCCTTGCTGCAAAAGACGTCGGGGGAAGCGGGGAAGCGAAGCGCTTCGCTTCCCGCTTCCCCCGGACCTCTTCTGAAGCAAGGGGCTGGGGGGAGATAGCGATCTCCCCCAGCCCCTTGCTTCAGAAGAGGTCCGGGGGAAGCGGGAAGCGAAGCGCTTCGCTTCCCCGCTTCCCCCTGACGTCTTTTGCAGCTGTTCCGAAGTGGGGCGGGGGGCGGGGTCACCTGCCCCAGCCGCCCCACTTCGGAAAGCTGTTCCGAAGCGGGGAGGGGGGGCGGGGACATCTGCCCCAGCCGCCCCACTTCGGAAAGCTGTTCCAGGAACAGCTCCATAGGAACCTCCATAGGCGCCCGTCACCTCTCCAGCCAGGAGAGCGCGCGCGGGGCTAAACCAGCCCCCCGCGACCCTCTCCCAGCTGGAGAAGTGACGCGCGCCTATGGCAGGAGCCTCCATAGGCGCCCGTCACCTCTCCAGCCGGGAGAGCGCGCGCGGGGCTAAACCAGCCCCCCGCGACCCTCTCCCAGCTGGAGAAGTGACGCGCGCCTATGGCAGGAGCCTCCATAGGCGCCTGTCACCTCTCCAGCCAGGAGAGCGCGCGTGGGGCTAAACCAGCCCCCCGCGACCCTCTCCCAGCTGGAGTTGTGACGCGCGCATATGGCAGGAACCTCCATAGGCGCCCGTCACCTCTCCAGCCGGGAGAGCGCGCGCGGGGCTAAAGAAACCATAGCCCCGCGACCCTCTCCCAGCTGGAGAAGTGACGCGTGACTATGGCAGCAGCCTCTGAAGGATGCACCGAAGCCTGGCGTGGGGGGGGGGCGGAGAGACCTTCTCCCCGCGCCAGCCTTCGGATGGCTGTCCTGAAGACTTGGGGTGGGAGAAGGGTTTTCCTTCCCACCGCCAACATTCAGAATGCTGTTCTGAATGTTGGCGGTGGGGAGGAAAAACCCTCCTCCCACGCAAGCCCCGGGAACAGAGGGAAAGCGCTGCGCGCCTTCCCCTCTGTTCCCGTACCTGTGCTGAAGGCTTGCGGTGGGGAGAAAAGCCCTTCTCCGCACCGCCAGCCTGGCAAGCGGTTTCCCTAGGAACGCATTAATTGATTTTCAATGCATTCCTATGGGAAACCGTGCTTCGCAAGACGAAAAATTCGCTAGACGACAAAAATTGCGGAACGAATTAATTTCGTCTTGCGGGGCACCACTGTAGACAAATTGATTGAAGATAGAGCTGTCAATGGCTGCTAGCTATGATGGCTATGCTCTCTCTGTTGGAAGAAGTATGCTTCTGTACGCCAGAGTCACAAGTCCTTTTTGCACTCAAGTCCTGCTTTCAAGCTTCCCACAGGCATCTGGTTGGCCACTGTGAGAACAAGATGTTGGTCTAGATGGGCATTTGGCGTGATCCATCAGCGCTCTTATGTTTTTATGGGCTACTTGTGTCTGCTGGCCATATGCAAAGGATAACTGTTTGCACAGAGTTGCATGGCCCCAAGAAGAATGGGCTATTGTGAACAGATATCTGAACAATTACTATCCACAATATGTCATCCTCTTCAGTTTGACATAGGTGTCCACAACGTGTACCTTTTGCTTTAAATATTGTTTGAGCATCTATATTAGGAAGATTCAGTATGGAGCACTATGTTTGTCTCTTCCTTCTAAATACAGTGTTTGTTTTTTTATGTAATAGCAGTTTCTTAACTCCTGTTTGGGTTAATGTGTATATAATTTACTCTGAGTTGTTTTGTGTTTACAACATTAAGAGCAATTTGACATGTACACTCTGTAGCTAAATACTGTCTTTCCACACTATGTTCATGACATGCTGTGTGATTTTACTACTGATATCTGCTCTGGTCGTCACTTATGCTCAGCATGTTCCAGACTTAATAATCTAAATGTGCCTTTGCCTTTCTTTCTTTTCCTTTTGATCTGAAGGTATTCGAGAAGGAAAAGGTTGAACCACTGCAGGTTAAGCAACAGGAGGTAAATTGGTTGGGTCAAGGCCTTATTCAGAGTGCTGCTAAAAATGCTAGTACTGAGAACCTTGAGCGTGATCTTGAGGATGTTAACACAAGATGGAAAACTCTCAACAAAAAGGTACGCTAGTTGTATTTGCACTCTTGTTTACCTTTCTAGTCTGCTGCTGTTTTTGTTTTGCTCTTATTTCTGATTTTCACTACAAAGTAGTACTACACATTATTGTAGTAGACTGCATAATAAAATGCACAAAATCCCCAGTCCAGAACTCCATGTGTGCTCTGGTGCTCATGTAGAGCTCCTACAGAAGCAGACTACCCTTTGTCACATGGGTACCCTGTCATTTTAATGTCTATGGAAAGAAACCTGTAGAAAGTCAAAAGCCTAAAGGAAATAGAGGATTGCAAAACATAATTCATGGTGCTTTCTGTGTCATGCTGATTGAAGCAAAATGCCTACTCAACTGTCTTCAGCCCTATTTAGGGAAGTTTTTAATAACTGATGCTTTAATGTATTTTTAATCTTTTGTTGGGAGCTGCCCAGAGTGGCTGGGGAAACCCAGCCAGATGGGCGGGGTATAAATAAAAAATTAATATTATATTAATGTCCAAATAAAGATGCGTGCATTCAAGAGGCACATGAAGTACTTAGGCTTCCCTGGGGATTATCCCTAGGCAGGTCTACCTCACACTTTGTGCACCTATGACCTGCTGGTACAAAATGTTGTATTGTTCATACCTGTATTAAGACAATTTTAAATATTTGCTGAAGTGCACAGAATGTCACTCAAGTCAGTGAAGAGCTTCATAGTTTAGGAGTTGCTAGCCTTAAATTGTTCTTATTTTCCCTAGGGGTTGTTTGATTGACTGGAAAGATGGAAAAAGGTATTGTGGGAAGAGGATAATATTTACAATGTTTTTTTGTTTGTTTGTTAGGTTGCCCAAAGAGCAGCTCAGTTGCAAGAGGCACTGCTCCACTGTGGGAGGTTTCAAGATGCTGTCGAATCTATCCTTAGCTGGCTTATTGACACAGAAGACCTTGTGGCTAATCAGAAGCCTCCATCTGCTGAGTTCAAAGTTGTGAAGGCCCAAATACAGGAACAGAAAGTGAGTGGAAGTTATTTATCTATCTTTAGATTAATTATATTTTCTCTGTAACCTGCTCAGTGGGGTATTTTAAACTGTTTTCAAAGCTGTGTTTTAATGTTGTAACCCACCCGGGGCCTTAGGATGAATAGTGGGTAATTAATAACAGTAATAACATGTGGTGGCCTGGATAACAGTGTGGCTGAGTATGTATTAGACATGTGCTATAAGAGGTGCAGTTGCAAAAGAACTTGAAAAAAATACATCTCCATAGTCTCTGTGATCCCATCACTTAGGATGGTTGTCATGGATGCTCCTGTGTGGGGGGGGGTGTTTGGCTTTTTTCAGGGGAAGGTCAAATTTTCTCAACCCAATCTGTGAAATTCTCTTTAAAGATTTGCCCTTTCCTACTTTCATTTTGGAATTCTCCACTCATTTTAACAGAGGCATCCAGACTAGCATATTAGTGGCACAGGATCTATTAGTCCTGCCTTTTACTTGTATGGCTCAGATTCAGCGGTAGACAGTGGGTTTTCCTGGGGGAAAGTGGCTAGGCAAGCGGAAGTGTGGGATGAGCCCTAAATTGCTTTGGTTCATTCAATGAGAAAAGTGACCAAGAAATATAACAAATAGTTGGTATGTAAATTTATATCCATCTCTTCTTTCACCATGGAACTCAAAGGAGTTCCCAGGCAGTCTCCCATCCAGGCATTGATTGCATCCTTTGTCCGGGGAAATGTGGTTTTCTTCACTTCTTTGGGAAATGTGGGGAGCTGGTGCAGACTGGGGGGGACAGAGGCCATGTATAGCACAGAGTAAACAATCATTTCATTGGACCAGCTTTCTGTATATATTGCAAGGAAAACTCTGGAATATCTGTGCTGGTTCTTGGCATCATTTCATGCACGTGTACATTTCACTGGATGCACATCAAAAACAATTATTTCGAGGATCAAAAGCAATCTGATGTTTGAAAAGACATCACTGATATTGTGAAAAGGGGCAGGGGGGAGAACATTGTAGAGCTACTCCCTTAAGTTGAAATAAAGTTCAAAATTTTGTCAGGGCTTCAATCCTCCTTCATCATTTTGACAACCCTCCACCCCACCCCTTCTCAGCTAATCTCTTTTTGCCATATATGCCATTCAGTGTGGACATATACGAGTTGCCTATACATATGGGTTAGTAAGGGATGAAATCTGTGCCTGGTGTCAGCTTCTGCTCCACCCCTTACTTCCTGACTTCTGTCTCTATAGAGTTTTGTAGAGTCTGTTTTGATTTAGGGTAACATCTTGTTGTGCCTGTATCTTCAGTTAATAATGTCAAACACCCCTGCTTCAGATTGTTCAACAATCACAGTTGATGATGGACCCTCACTTAAAAGGGGCGGGGAAAGAAGGTTCATATTAAATATTGAATTGGCAGTTGTGGAGTAAATACAGCACATCAAACTCTGTAACCAGATCCATAATTACTTTCCTGTTCAAAATAAATGTATGAGCAAGGAAAGAGCAGGTCACAGCATGCACAGCATCAGAGAGAAGTTGTGCTCTCTGAGCAGTCTTAACAAAAGGCAGTAGGAGAGAGGAGGGGGGATTTTTGGCTGAAACATAGAAGGCAACCCTCAGGGAAGAGCACTGCATGAAGCTTAGTGAATCAAGTCCTCAGGTTGTCTGGCCAAAGTGAGTATCCAAAGTTGCAGCTGCTCGCAACATAATAATCTCCGAAATGATCATATGTTTGTACTGAAAATTTGGGACACAATCCAGAGAAAGTTATAACATGTTTGATTCCCCATTAAAATAATTTGGTCTTAGGAACATCATTAAGCCCTGAATTGTGTTCATCTTATTGAATGCAGCCACAAGTGTTTTGAAAGGTGAGCACTATATAAACAAACAGATATTTCTCTGGATTGCAGTGGATAGTTGCAAACATCAACAGTGTATTGAAAAGATGGGGAGGGTTCTTATGTGAAGCGGAAAATTTCCTATCTTTTCTTTTTCCAAAATGGAAAAGCTTCCCCAAAAGTTCCCAGCACTGTCGTGTGTTATAAAATGTTCCACTGTGATTCCCCCCTCTTCCTGCACATGTCAACATCATACCTCATATAAGGCATATATATCTGTAGCCCTTCCAGGGGCTTCCAGGATAGCATTGAAAAGAAATCTGAATGAAAACATTTGGAAGGATGCTAGACCTTTACAACCGATGCTAAGATTGGCACAGTTTGCTCGCTCTCATAATGAAATTACTTATTTATGCAATTTATGGCACTTGCATTGTAAGACTGCTGGCACCCTCACAATTTCCTGCCATCTCAGAAAATTGTTCCCTTAAGCCTGCCTCTTTTTGCCAGTAAACAAGACCTTGAAGAATCTGCCTCTCAATCTTTTTACAGCCTTGTAGTGAACAGTCATTTCCTGGCAATTTGATTTTTGATTATTTTGTCTCCAGCTTCTCCAGAGATTGCTGGATGACCGCAGACCCACTGTTGAACTAATCAAGCGTGAAGGGGAGAAAATTGCAGAGTCAGCAGAGCCCGCTGATAAAGAGAAGATCTTGAAACAGCTGAGCCTCCTGGATAGCAGATGGGATGCACTGCTTGATAAAGCAGAAACAAGGTACCTGAAATGTTTGCATTCACTTAGGGGTACAGTAGGGTGTACTCCTTGATACAGCATTAGAAACTAATTTGAAACTATAGCAACATTTTCATCCAGTTAACTGTAAGATTCGCATTTGAAGCTAAATGAGAAAATGGCTCTGAGTATATTACAAGTTTTATTTTTAGAAATTTCAGTGAAATAATATGGGGAAATCAGTATCACATAATCACCCGTTCTTGTAGTAAAGTGGATGTCTCCCATAATCTTCCAATTATGGGAACTACCTTTAGGTGTAGTTCAGAGATTTTCGAAGTAATTCAGTGAACATAATTAAACCGAAGTAGTTCTTTCCAAGCACTGATTTTAACTTTTTAGTATTTCATACATCCCTCATCCCGCAAAATGTGCTTTGTTTTCACATATTGTAGGAATCGTCAATTGGAAGGTATCTCAGCTGTAGCACAGCAATTCCATGAAACTTTAGAACCACTGGTTGAGTGGCTAACCATCACTGAAAAGAGGCTTTCAAATTCAGAACCCATTGGAACACAGGCTTCCAAACTACAACAGCAGATTTCTCAACATAAAGTAAGATCTTAATGTGCCTTTCATTGCGGCAATTATTTTATGATTTGTAAATCAAAAGTGGAGTATTCCCCCCAACACATTTTTTTATTACTTTGTTTATATTCTTCTTTTACCATCAAAGTTATATTCTTTTGGTTGTTCTTGAGTTGTTTTCATATTTGGTTTTATGGTTTCTTTTGTTTGCTTGTTTTTCTTTTCTTTTTCTTACTACTTTGAAAACTTCATTTAGGCCTTTGAGGAAGACATCGCCACTCGCAACAAAAATTTGGAGCAAGCTATTAATATTGGTCAGGCTTTAAAGGCATTGAGCTCCAAGGAAGACAAGGAAATGGTGCAGGAGAAACTAGATTCTTCAGAAGCCCAATACACTGAGATTCGAGAGAAAAGTGGCAGTAGGGCTCAGCTTCTACAGCAAGCCTATTGCAATGCTCAGATTTTTGGAGAGGATGAAGTTGAATTGATGAATTGGCTGAATGAAGTACATGAGAAACTGAGCAAATTGGCAGTCCAAGACTACAATACTGACTTGCTTGTGAAACAACAAACTGAAATGCTGGTATTTCCAATTATTTTCTGTTGATTTTATTTTACCATTTTAAGCACTATTTCATATTACTTCTCATTTTTTTATTGTTATAGTCGTTTAATTCTGTATCCTGATCATTTATTTTTAAGCCTTTATCCTCCCCGCACCCTGCTCCAATTCTCACTCTGAGAGAATAAGTGGGTGCTTATAGACTTTCAGCTTTATAGATTTTAAATGATGACTTCTCTGATGATAAAAGCATTCTGAAATTTTCTAGGCTCTCCAAGAAGAGATTCTGCTCAGAAAGCAAAATGTTGATCAGGCTATACAAAATGGTTTGGAGCTTCTCAAACAAACGACAGGTGAGAAAGCCATGAGGAAATTAATGATTTATGACAACAAAGACAAGTAAAGTAGAAACTTTTGGGGGCTCATTGACTCCTACTGGAACCTTTTTAAAGCTAATTTTAAAAAAACCTTTTTTGTTCATAAGTAATGGGATAAGTTTAAAATTATGGGTGCAGTGTCTAATAAAGTTTCACAGTGTAATACTATATCTGTCCGCTCAGAGGTAAGCATGAATGAGCTCAGCAGAGCTTACCCCCAGGTATGTGAAAAGAAAGCAGTAATGAGAGTTGGTGTAGCATAGTGGTTGAGAGCATGAGCTGGGAGTCCTCAGTTCGAATTTAACCACAGCCATGAACTTCCTAGGTGACATTAGGCAAACCATTAATTCAGCCTCAGCCTTCCTGCTGTAATATTCTACTGGTCTACTGTGCAGAGCTATTGGGAAAATTTAGGGCTGATAGGAAATTTCTCAGAAGAGAATTTCTTAACAGATGTTTGAACAGTTGGAGAATTTCACTCTATTGCTGGGGAATATATGGTGAAATAGCCTTCCAGATTTCATCCTCTTTGAATTTTGAGCACACACTGGATCCAGTTTTAATATTGTTGTGGGGAGCAATAGACTTGGCCTCTACTCCTTCCCATTCTCCTCTCTTACTCCATTAGTTCCATGTGTCGTTTCTGTCGGGGAGAGGGAAGGCCTTATCCTTTATGGAAATAGCATATAGATCATTTCTTTGCCTCTGGAAATTATTTCTCTTATTCGCATTCTAGGTTTCATCACGAAATGTTGTTCTGCTAGGGACAAGACCCCCAAATTTTGGGGAGTCTTAGGGTTCAGGGATTTGTAAATGAAGTACAGTGGAGGGTGGTAAAGAAGCTTCTTAAAATTTTGAACTAAACACTAAAAGCGGCTTGAGACTTTTTTTATAGTACAGTATTCAGTTGAAGGGACGCGGGTGGCGCTGTGGGTTAAACCACAGAGCCTAGGACTTGCTGATCAGAAGGTCTGCGTTTCGAATCCCTGCGATGGGGTGAGCTCCCGTTTCTCGGTCCCTGCTCCTGCCAGCCTAGCAGTTCGAAAGCACATCAAAGTGCAAGTAGATAAATAGGTACCGCTCCGGCGGGAAGGTAAACGACGTTTCCATGCGCTGCGCTGGTTCGCCAGAAGTGGCTTAGTCATGCTGGCCACATGACCCGGAAGCTGTACGCCGGCTCCCTCGGCCAATAAAGCGAGATGAGCGCCGCAACCCCAGAGTCGGTCACGACTGGACCTAATGGTCAGGGGTGCCTTTACCTTTACCTATTCAGTTGAAACTCTTGAAAACAAGAGTGTGATCACTCACCCCTAACTTGAATATGCATGGTTCTGGAAGAATTTGATTATAGTTTGAACAGTTCCTTATTTTTTGAGTAGCACTTCAACATTTTAAAGCAGTTTGTAATGTGTGGTATCATGATGCATGTCCATTTGGATCTCAGCCAGTAGATGTAAGGAAGGAGTAAATAGACTGCTTAAACAGCTATATAGAAGAATGTTGTAGTAAATGTTAAAAAAGTGGTTTTTTAAAAAAATGGACTAAGTAATTGGTCTACCTATTGCTCTGAGAGAGGCTGCTTCCCCCACAGTGGACCTAGTACTGTGGGAAAGTTGCATTCCAATTGCACACAGCATGTCTGGCTTGTAGACCAACATCTTCTAAATTTTCCAGTCTCTAACTCCATGAACTCTCCAAGATATACATAGTTTGGGGCTGGGAAGAAGGGAGGGAGGAGAGAAGGAGATGAATTACAGAATTAGAAACTGAATTGTTCACTGAAAGGTAAACATAAAGTATAACGAACAGTGCAGTTTCAATTCTGACTTTTACTCTCTTTATAATGGCGATTGCGTGGACATAGCCACTCAAAGAGGAAAATGTTCTTAATTGTAATTAGCGCTGTCAGTTGATTCATTACCTGCCTTATTTTAATGGATTAAATTTAATTACTGTACATACCACAAAATCTCAATATTTGTGTAATTTCATGTATATTGGAGAAAAAACATAGTTGGTTGTTGTTTTAAAGATATAGTCAAATAAAGTTGCCATGCAGTGTTAGAAGGAAAGGCCATCCATCTGCTCCTTAGTCTGGAATGCTATCACGTTATTCCCATATTCAGAGAGACCAATTCTGAACTTCAGAGCAGGAAACACCCTGAGCCATGAATAGTGAGCTCTGCCTACCATACTGCCTGTCACCTACTCAGAAGTCATTAGGGCTCCCAGCTTGTAGTGATGACTTAATTGGCGTGAGCCAGTGCATAGAACAGGGATAGGGAGTCCAGATGTTGTTGGACTCCCATCTCCCATCAGAGCCGACCAATAATCATGCAAAGATGGGAGTTGTAGTCCAACAACATCTGGATGGCCACAGGTTCCTCGTCCCTGACCTAGAGAATCCTGATTGGCTGAGGCTTGACCTAAATTTATTTTGGTGGAGCCCAATCTAAAATAAGATGGGGTGGGCTAAAGTTGCATGTGCACAGCGAAGCTTCCATGCTTAGAAGAAAAACTAGCTTAATCAGGATGAAATATTTGTTCTATTTTCACCTGTGGACTTAAACACTAAAAACATCCTGGTCGCTTTAGATGATTTGTGTGTTAAATACCCCTTTCACATTGCAGGTGATGAAGTTGTCATAATTCAGGATAAATTGGAAGGCATTAAAACAAGGTACAAGGACATAACTAAGCTGAGTTCTGATGTGTCCAAGACTTTAGAACAGGCTCTACAGCTTTCTGGTCAGCTGCAGTCAGCTCATGAGAAACTCTGCACTTGGCTGGATAAAGTTGAGGTGGAATTACAGTCGTACGAAGCGCAGGTCCCCAAAGGTGAAGAGTTAAGTCAAGCGCAAGAAAGACAAAAGGTGAGCATAAAATGCTGTGTTTGCTTGTGGACAGAGTTCCGGGGGCCACTTGCCAGCAGCAAAGATGGCTGGAGCAACAGGCGTGACACTTCCCTTTGTACAGCTACACAGAAGTTGGGACGTTTTTGCATGTATTCACACCTCATGCACATCCCTTCACCCTTCATCCGGCTAAGCAAGAAGCATCATCATATTTCAGAGTAGGGGAGGGAGGTGGAGAGAGAGAGATGGGGTATTGTTCTTTTGCACTATCATCTTTTATTAGTTTAGAGGTTTGTGTCAGCATCATGTAGGTAGGTCCTTTGTTTATTTATATTGATAGTGTGAGAGGTTAGGGGGTCCCAAGCATGATTGTAACAAAAGCAAAGGTAGCCAAGTTGAAAAGAGTGATATTTATAGCTTTGGTTTGCTGCTGTAGCATTTCAACTATGTACTCTTAAACTAAATAAAAAAACTGAAGATGGGAGAAGGAGAAAACCAAAAAAGCCTCATGGGTGGAACCTTTGAGCTGCGCAGATTTTGTTTCTGCGCCAATGTGTTATTTTTAACTTGTTTACCTTAAATATTCCTTTTTAGGCACTGAAAAAAGAAGCAAAAGATAATAAAAGTTTACTGGACACTCTTAACGAAGTCAGCAGTGCTTTGCTTGAATTGGTGCCATGGAGAGCAAGGGAAGGGATAGACAAAATGATCACAGAAGACAACGAACGGTACAGATTAGTGAGTGACACTATAACTCAGAAAGTGGAAGAAATTGATGCTGCCATTTCCAGATCGCAGCAGGTAAAAATGACCATAATTCTCATTTCAGTCTATGCGTGATAGGGGAAAAAAATATGTATATTTATCTGTTCAAGGAATATATCCAGGTGTATATCTGGGAATCCGTACCAAAAGAAAAGGCTGTTGTTCATATTATTGGCACATGCATGCTACGTCTTTGCAAGAACTGGGGCCAAACTTGAAAAGAGCTTGGTCATAGTTGTCAGACATGAGTCCTAGACCAAAGCAAATCCAGTCATTGTTGTAGCCATCTGTCTTCTAGTTGACACAGAAATTACAGATCAGTCTCATACTGAGAGGCATTACGAGTGGCATCATGCAGTGATCTCAGTGGGAATTTCAGTACAGAAAGAATTGTAAACTCAAACCCTCTAACTTATTATTTATGCTGCTATGTAGGTCATATATCAGCTTGTGTAAATGAATGGTTGAAGTAAAGATGTGTACAGTAGCCAGTGGATGCAGTTTTGCAGGAAATATAAACATTATTTGCAGTTGTGGGCAGCATTAAAATGAGCTTAATATACACATCAGTGTTTTGTTCGAAGGTTTTCTTTTTCTTTTTTAGAGCTTCTAATTTGTTGGCCCTTTAATTTAGTATGACTCAGTTTATATGCCTCTCTTTCAAAACAGAATGTTCAGGCCAAAAGTACCTTCTCTGATTATAAATGTGAGATGACAGCAAATGTTTGTGGCTTGTTTCAAATAGATTAAACAGTGTGATAAAGAATTACTCATGAAAAACATGGAGAAACCTCAACCCACGTAACTTGCTTTTCAGTCATGATTCATAATTAAAGAATAAGATATGACAGCTTATCCATTAAATTTCACCTTCAGTTGGAAGTGACTCTGTCACCACAAACATGTAAATTATCAACTTTCTCAAGCAGCTTAATAGGATTATTTCTTGTTCAACCAGCATATGTTGAAAGCGTCAGACATAATGAAGAATTTTGATGACCTCTAAAGGTTGCATATGCTCCCACCAACATGAGTGGGTCCAATAAAAGTTATCCACCTTATCAGTTTCTCTACCACTTTCTTTTAGGAACATGATTCACGTTGAAACTTGTTGTGTATATTTATTTGTCTGTTTAAACTAGACCATTCAAGTATTGTGCTTCATGAGCATACCAATTGCTCTACAGTAGACTTCTCTAACTTGGTGCCCTCAATATAATTTGGACTCCAGATCGCAGCAGCCCCAGTCAGTATGGCCAGTGATGGAAACTGTATTTTAAAGCGTTTGGAAAGAACCAGGATGGGGAAGGCTCTCAAAGTTCTCCAAAGCTCTCGAGTTCAGTTGAGAACTGGTCTGGTGAGCCCAGGGGAAGAAACAAAGTTGAGGGTGGAACATTTGCATATGACAGCAGTGCCTAGTGGGATAACAGACCCTGGCTTCCCTTCCCCTGCGCCATCCACATGTTGAAAGGGAAGGTCTGAAATGAGGAGTCTGCTTTGTGTTTAGGCTCTGCCTCTGTCAGAACCCTTTGTGATCAGGGTGCTAATCTAGGTTCACACAGCGGGCTCTCCCTTCTTTAGAACCTTCCCCCAGAGTGTGGAAGTCAGGGTACCGCAAGTAGTATTGTCATGGTGGTGGGAAGCTCAGTGGGCACAAACTTGCTCTCTTCTCCCATGCATGTTCGGAAAATGACATTTGAAAGAAATCCACTAGTGGTCTCTGAAAGGATAAGGTTTTCAGGGGGAAAATATGTGTATGCTATAGATACTCAAGACTTGCGTTCGCACAACTGGACTGTCAACTTCTACCAAGAAGCAATTCCTATTTTGCTGCCCATTGATTTTAATGCCATTGATCTAGCCTAACTAAAAAATAATCTCTCTATTGAGGCAGGGAAATAATCTTAAAGATGGACAAGAGCAAGAGATGTTTAAAGAAAAGCAAGTATTAATATTACCTTTGATGTTTGTGAGAATTTTGACAGAGAATTCTGGTTGAAGTATAAAGTATAATGTGGCTCTGACATTTCCTGCTTCCTCTTTGTAACACTTCTGAAATAAGCTGATTTTGATATACTCCTCAGTGTCACAGAGAGCCCTAGAATTTAATAAAATAAGAACAAACTGTGTGGTTATTATAAGAAGCTGCATTATATTCAGTCACAGCAACGAGCCACCTAGCCTCACACTCTTAACTACTAGCACTGATTCCAGGATGCTGTGCTGCTGACCTGAAAGTCATTATTCTTCAACAAAATAACTTCAAAGGGAAACTTTAGCCAGCAGCTGCTGAACAAAAATTCATCAGCAAGCTTGAAGCTACTTGTTTCAATTTCATTCAAGGCAAAGTTTTTTTCTCCTATTTCATTAAATTATCACAGCAAAGAGAGGAAAATTATATTGTTGCATATACCGGTAATTTGTGAATGATCACTGTGTTTATTTCGTATACTTTTGAGCTTTGCACAGAGACATCACACTTGCTATTCAAAGATATTTGGCCCACTGCTTACAATCTTTACCTTTCTGACTCTGTATGTGTTTGACCAATGCCACTGAAGCATGTTGCACTATTCTGCCTTGCCTTACCTGTCCCTTTAAGAATACCCAGATTTCTCTCATCCTCCATCATATCTCTTAAGTGAAGAGGCCACATCTCCTCTTCCAGGTCTAAATGCACAAACTGTGGAAAGCTTATGGTCTAGCAGGGAAGTTAACAGGCACTATCTTGTTGCCATTGACACCTTGATCGCTTCATCCTCTATCCCCTCCCGAAGGTGTTGCAACACACATTCTTAGCCATGTGCAACTCCCTTAGCATTGCAGCTTAAAATACCCACCATTCTAGAACTGGCCTAGAGGCAGCTTTGCAATTGAGGGTTATACTGGTTCTGATATCCAAAATATAAACAGGTTCTCATAAACTTGGGGCTGTGTAAATGTAACCAGTGCAGTCTTACCACTGAGCTATGATCCGCACCTCTGAATCTTAAGAAATGTCTTTTCTGAAATATCTTTTCCATTTGAACCCTCTACGCATCCAGTTGGAGTTATTTTTTTATTAATTGCTTTTTTTATTTTTTTCTGTATTTTCTTTAGTTTGATCAAGCAGCCGACACTGAATTAGCCTGGGTTGAGGAAACAGAAAATAAACTGATGTCTCTGGGTGACATTAGGCTTGAACGTGACCAGACCATTGCTCAGCTACAAGTTCAAAAGGTGAACAAATGTGATTCCATCTGTAATGCAATAATTAATGGCCATTACTTTTTCTGCCATGATTTAATTTTCAGACCATTATAGTGCAGGCTTTTGCTCTATGTCCTCATATTCCTAATACCAGAGTATTGTATTATGTAATTAGGCATTTACCATGGAGATTTTGAAACACAAGGATACAATAGAAGAGCTTGTTGCATCTGGGGATGAAATTATGAAGACATGCACAGAAGAGGACAAACAAACCATGAAGGTAATGGAGCATGATTTGCACTTGCTTACCAATAACTTTGAAAATCTGCATGCGTAAGGGATTCCTAAGCCATGTTGCTGGAGCCCACTAAGATTACGTAAGAGGGGCTGAAATGTGCCTTGAAAGCTTAAGCTGCCTCAAGTTGGCTGCATCATGCAGCACGTGGTTAAACTATGGAACTTGCTCCCACAGGAGGCAGTGATGGCCTTTAACTTACATGGCTTTAAAAGAGGATTAGACAAATTCATAAAGCTATCAATGGCTGTTAACCATAATGGCTATGCTCTGCGCAGTTGGAGGCAGTGATGCTTCTGAATACCAGTTACTGGAAACCAGAGGAGGGGAAAGTGTTCTTGTGCTTGAATCTTGCATGCTGGTTTTTCACAGGTCATTGTGAGAACAGGATGGGGGACTAGATGGACCATTGGCCTGATCCAGCAGGTCCTTAAAACTTACTTGAAATGCCTGTTGAAATTTTAAAAGGCCTTCAGTATACACTCAAAATTCAACAGGAAAGAGGGCCTGCCTGATATCAACCATGGGGGAGTTCCATAGAATTGGACCTGGAATGCTGAATCCACAACTCCTTGGGGGATATGCCTCCCCCAAGCACCTGCCTACTTGCCCCCTAAAGGACTAAAAGATTGCCCACCCTGTTATATAGCAAGACTAGTCACCTGCCACAATGGTAATCTTGTAAATGTCTCCAACCCAAATATAAATGCTGGTGTTTGTTGGTAATTTCTTTAATAGAAGAAGCTGGAAGACCTCTTGCAGAAGTATAATACACTCTGTCAAATGAACTCTAAGAGGAACCTGCAGCTAGAAAGAGCTCAGTCTCTAGCCAGTCAGTTCTGGGAGACTTATGAAGAGATTTGGCCATGGCTAACGGAAACACAAACAGTAATATCACAGCTTCCAGCACCAGCTCTGGAATATGAAACCCTAAAGCAACAACAAGAAGAGCACCGGGTAAGTTTGCAGTTGTCTAACAAAATGCTGTTAATTCCAAAGGTCAAAAGAAGTGCAGTCCTCTCTTTAGCATGTCATATTCACCAAACCAACCAATACTTATCAGATTTTACATATTTTTTACTCTCTGTTAAAAACAACAACCCAAAATTCATTTTATTATGAAACAAACATTTTCTATTTTAACATAAACACAAGTTTGAGATTATTCTCAAGGCAGAGCAATCATTGTGAAAAGTGGATTAGTGAATTAGTGGCCTAACTCTGAACAAATTATTTACATTTTTTTTAAAGGAATGAGAATGTTCAACAGTATCCAAAATAGCTGGAATGCAAAGCAAGCTGTGGTGTTCCCTAAGGGGGCGGGGGAATCAAAAATCCAAAGTTGGGAAACACCTTAATTTGGACCAGCCAAAGTATCACAATCTTTTGAGTTCTCCAGAACTCTTAGTCAGGATGTTATGTAAAGCAGAGAATGGGGGAAAGGGGGCGGGGGACAGCAACAAACAACAAAAATGGTTGTGGCCACTACGTCTGCATTTAGATTCAGTTTTAAGAGAGATTGCATGCTGGATTGGACTAGGTGTTGCAGACTCAGTCTGTACCCAGGATTTTGGGGAAAGAGGTGATGGCTGACCCCCAATTTTGGAAACATAAAGTCCAGCAGTTACTCAGTTCTGCCTCCAGCCTTAACAAAAGACAGAGGTTCCTGATTAGGCAGAGTGCAGCAATAAAGAGAAACATGGCTGTCTTCATATTAGCAAAGTTGGAGATTAATTACAGAGAGTGTTCTGGGTAGAAAAATCAGCTAAAGCTTCATTGAGTAGTAGTGAAGGCATACTGAATACAACAGAAACTGGAGACAAACAAAAGAATAAGTACGTAGCCAGAAGCACCTTCTAAAAGTGAACTTTAAAACTATAACAGTTTGTTCTGTTAAGTTATGCTTTAAATGTGCAACAGTGTGTTGCTTCCATTTTAATGCACAACATTTTCTACGAGTCTCAAAAATATTGGATGATCTTAATATGATTCCTTGACGTAACCTTGGAGGTTTGATTTGCTTGCTTTTGTTACAGCACTCGAGCACTAGCGAGCTATTTATAATCACATTTAAACAATTTGGCATCTTCTGGAATGCCATTACTTAATAAATCATTTAGAGTGCCGGACAACTGGCTGAATACTTTTGACTAGTTATATTGTTTTGCTTCCCAGATTCTGTTCTTTTAAATATCTTGGTTGACTAAAATGCTGTTTTTCTAGTATAAAGGAAACATTATATGCTTAGAGCTGAAAACACAACACTAAGGCTAAATGGATATATCCAGTATGAGTTATATTTTGTCTTAGCATGCAGCTGGGATTGTTTATTTAGACCACCTTGCCAGCTGAACGTGTTGGACGCACAGACAGCTGGAATGTGGCGATGTAAGGGTTAGATACTGATAAGTGTTTTGCTTTGCTATAGCAACTGCGAGAGTTGATTGCTGAACACAAGCCTCATATAGATAAGATGAATAAAACTGGACCTCAGCTTCTGGAGCTGAGCCCGCGAGAAGGTTTTTCAATCCAAGAGAAGTATGTAGCAGCTGATGCCCTTTATAGTCGAATTAAAGAAGATGTCAAAAAGCGAGCTCAGGCACTGGACGAAGCCATTTCTCAGTCTACCCAGGTAACATTATTTATTAGAAGAGCAATTAGATTCCAACTGCAGGATGTTGTTATCTTAAATCAATAGACTCTAGGTACATAGTGGACTTGCCAAGACACTACGTCACCAAATATGTGAATACGCCCATCATTGCACATACATTTGCTCTTCCTATCTGTTAAAGAATTAAGGGCATTGTATTTTGGTGAATCAAACCTTCCCCCTGTGCCATCAAGTTCCTTGAAGGAAAGGCATAATTAAAAAATGGAAATATTCTTATCCTATTTGGGAATTACAGAATTGTTTTTCCCTGAATAATAAAGCCAGTATCCTACATAATAGTGATTTGTTCATGCATGAACACAATCAAAGAGGCTAATTGGTGTCAAGACAGCCCAGGGTTTCTCCTGGTGTCTTTGCCAAAAATAGTGGTGGTGGGACAGTGACTGACTGTTGGTCAGACTTGGCATGAAGCAACTTCCAACTTTCCAATGTAATGCTACTGCATTATAGTTTTCTGACCCTACCTACTTAGGAGCTAGGTGCTTACATTCATACGATGTCTATTAATCACTGCCGCATAATGTTAACAGTAATTAACCAATGCAGTAGGATATTTATTAGATAAAACTTATTAATAATGTGAATTGCTGACATTTTTTTAAACGACATAACACATTGTGGCAAAGGATAGGTGAAAGAAAAAAGGTGTTATCCCCTCTGTGTTATAAAACCATGTTCAGAAAACTATTAATACATAGTATTAATACATGGTGGTGATGAGACAGATAACAATTGGTCTGTACTGTAAAGCTTCCTGGTTCCTAGATATGATTTGGACATCTTGATTGGGAAACATAAATTTTGCTTAAACTAAGATCATAAATCTGTTGAGAAAGACAAAAAGTCACAAAAATAGTTAAGGATGCTTTAAGCATGTTCATTCAGCTATAACTGGTTTTTTTTTCTGGTTTGACCCAATTCCTTTTAAATGTTGCTAATAATCTGTCACTCACCCAGTCTTCTCTCCCTCCTCCCCATTTGTCTGCATAGTTCCATGACAAGATAGATTCGACCACTGAGAGCCTAGAACGCATTGTTGAACGTTTGAGGCAACCGCCTTCCATCTCAGCTGAGGTTGAGAAGATTAAAGAACAGATCGGTGAAAATAAGAACGTGTCTGTCGACCTTGAAAAACTTCAGCCAGTCTATGAAACCCTCAAGCAGCGCGGGGAGGAGATGATTGCCCGTTCAGAAGGCGCTGATAAGGACATATCTGCTAAAGGTAGACTTCAGAATTTTACATTTCAAAATAAATGCATGAACAAGTTTCCACAAGCAGAACTTTATATACCTGCCCGTGTATATTTTGCTTCCTAGTGGTCCAGGATAAGTTGGATCAAATGGTCTTGATGTGGGAAGACATCCATACCTTGGCTGAAGAAAGGGAGGCCAAATTGCTTGATGCAATGGAACTAGCAGAGAAGTTCTGGTGTGATCACATGGCTCTCATAGCCACTATTAAGGATACTCAGGATTTTATCAGAGAACTAGAAGGAGCTGGAATTGATCCTTCAGTGGTAAAGCAACAGCAAGAAGCTGCAGAGGTAGGTGAAATGTAACTGTTGGGCTTAGACTACTGTCCTGCTCCCATATATTTCTTAGCAATCATGTATAAGCGTGTTAGTGGTTTGGACTATATTGTTATGCTATGTTTAGTGGAAATTCCTTTACAAATCATCATGGCTGGTTCAGATGTAACAGGAAACCATTGTTTCCAGCTATGTGAATGAGCCACACTGAGCCGCCTCCTCCCATCTCCAGTGCAAGGCTCTCCGCAGTTCATTCACATTGTGGGAACTCCTAATTACCCATTATATATGGACAGGACTAGATATAGAGTCCAACACCATCTGTGTGGATTTATTTTGCTTCTTTAAGAAACAAAAATCCCTGTGTGTAACAAATGCATAGCTCCAGGTAATCATGGCCTGCATTTTTTTGCCTTCCTGCACTAGTCAGTAATGCCCTTTTTTCTCTTCAGAGTCTATGCATTGCTGAATGAAAAGACTTGCATGGGGGAAAATGCATTTGAAGTAATAATGAAAGGTGATGGCTGTGTTCTACCTCCAATGTCAAAGGCAGTTTGCCTCTCAATATCAGCTCCTGGGAATCACAAGTGCTGTTGTGCACAGGTCCTTCTTGCGGGCATCTGATTAACCACTGTGAGAACATGATGCTGGACTAGATAAGCCTTTGGCCTCAACCCAGCAGGACTCAGCGTTCTTTCTGATGACTATTGTGCCCTTATAAGCCATCTAATGATGATTCGAGCATTGGGCCAGATTCAGTTTGCTAATGGAAGCCAGCACAAAGATATCTGCTAGCTCCATAGAGATTTCCCCCTCTTCTTCCCCCTTCACCTCTCTCGAATCTGCTCTGGAGGGTCAGGGGAACCCCCAGGAACAGCATGGAGAAGGAGGAAAAAGGAGATAGTTGCATCTGACAAGCAGAAATTCCTTTGCTGATGGGTTATTGGCATAGTGCAGGCTTCCTCAAACTCGGCCCTCCAGATGTTTTGAGACTACAATTCCCATCATCCCTGACCACTGGTCCTGCTAGCTAGGGATCATGGGAGCTGTAGGCCAAAAACATCTGGAGGGCCGAGTTTGAGGAAGCCTGGCATAGTGTGATGTTGAATTCCACCCATTGAGTGGGGGAAATTCATGCATTAATCACCCTTAAAACACCATCCGTTCTCACCCAGAGCAATCTCCCTCCCAACTTGCTGTTCAAATGACTGCACAAGTTTGGTCTTTTGGTTTATGTTTCTGATAGGCACTCCCCTCCCCAGTATTGCCTGTTGAAGTGAGAGGACTTTCCTAAGCCGTTTATGATTTGCTGTGGTAGGATGTGTGTGGGATAGACAGGGAATAAAATAATCTCACTGCCATAGGACATGCCTAAAACAGCTCTGGTTTCCAACCTTTATTCACAAAAGTCATAAACATTCATTACAGGAAAATAATAGCAGCCTGGGACCATGTGACATTGAGACATTGCATTTTTATTTGATAATATTCAGAAGCCAGACCTACTAATTTGTTTAAAAGGAGGCTAGTATTCACCTTATTTTCTTAGCATTATGGTGTAATTTTCCCACACTGTATGGCTACAATGTTAGCTTATTGAATTTGAAAGCTGTATTTCAAAGCAGGTGGACATGTCGGTCCCTGTAATGTTCTGGATACAGAGGAATTGTTAAGCCCCTGCCACAACAACCATCTGCCCAATGGGTGAAGAAAAACCTACTCTTAAACTCCCTCCTTCATGTTGTCGTCTTCTTTATAAATCAATATATTTTTAAAATTTAAGGTCAGCATGGTCTTATGCTATGCTAGTTAGACACTCATGGATAGCAAATAATGTTTGCCACTCTGAATGAATCTTAAATAATAAATTTAATATTATGGAAAGTCTAACATTTTGTTTCTCTTTTTTAGACTATTAAAGAAGAGATAGATGGGTTACAAGAAGACTTAGATGTAGTGGTAAGCCTTGGCTCTGAACTGATAGCAGCATGTGGAGAACCTGACAAACCATTAGTCAACAAGAGCATAGATGAGGTATGAGTTATGTAATTGTTTGGCATTTTATGTCCATATGAAATGGATAGAAAGGTGTTTCCTTTTTTAAAATTGATGTATGGTGCCTAATTTAAATACTTGGCAAACATGCAGGGTTCTTTGGGGAGTCAAAAGTAAAATTCACCACACTGGCTTCTGGTTTGATTTTGAAACTTTCAAGGCACTTTGCAGAACTGAAATAAACCTATGAAGCTCATAGTTTAACTTGCACTGATAAGTGGAATCATCCACATATTTAACTATGGTAGGGTAATAAGCCACCAAAAACTTGGGTGGAGGTGATCCTGGTCCTTGATAGAGACATATCCACCTAGATTTAGCAATGTTCCTTGCTCTTATTATAATATTAGGGAAGCTCTTGCATAATTTTTATATTGCAGATAGAGAAACCTTAATCTAATGTCAATCCTAAGTTTTAATATATAGGTTATAGACATTGCCTTCCAGTTTTTTATTCAACTGAATCTCCATTTAAAATGCAGCTAAATTCTGCTTGGGATGCTTTAAATAAAGCATGGAAAGAACGTGTTGACAAGCTTGAGGAAGCAATGCAAGCGGCTGTTCAGTATCAAGATGGATTGCAGGTAAGGTTATTTTTAATCTTTAAAATTTACAAGCATTATCTAATATTATTCTTTTCTTTTTTTCTTTTTTAAGAGTAACCTTTTTAATCAGCCAGAGACCCCTGATTTGATTCTGAATTGTTGGTTCAGAACAATTGAAAATGTTGGTTTTCATTTAACCTATAAAGCACCTAATGGTTGTACACTATTGTGACCTCATCTTCATCCTCCTACAAGTTCTTAGATCGTCAACTTTTGAATTTGCTGGGTAACAGCACCCCAAATTTTTCTATTACTATACCAAGTTTGTATGATGAGGAATTCTCAGGCAAAATGCAAGCCTATGTTCTTTCTGGCAACACAAGATAACCTGGTTGTTCGGGCTGGCTTTTGGTGGAATTGGGTAGTTTAATTTGATGTTAGTGGATATTCTGTTGGGTTTACTGATCCTGATTTTATAATAGTGTTGCATTCCCCTAAAACAAGAGGTTGGGGGAACCTGTGGTCCTCCAGACATTGTTGAACTTCAGTTCTCATCAGTGCCAACCCACACAGCCAACACTCAAGGATTATGAGAACTGTAGTCCCAGCAACACCTGGAGGGCCCCAGGTTCTCCATCTCTGCCCTAAAACACAGGGTGGGGCAGCTAAATTTCTAAATGAACAATAAATAAATATGTATATTAGAGCATGGCATGAACCATTCAAAGTTAAATGCATGTTATGGGTCATGCAATGTGCTACATTGGAGATGTGTGATTGGATCTCCTAGCATATTCTTCTTCTCCTAGAAGTGTGTGTGTGTGTGTGTGTGTGTGTGTGTGTGTGAGAGAGAGAGAGAGAGAGAGAGAGAGAGAGAGAGAGAGAGAGAACCACAGCACAGGGGGCATTTTTAAAATTAAACCCCCTCCCCTTTTTTCTTTCCACCCTGAGCTGCTGTAGAAGGAAAATCATATGGGCACGATACTGACCTATGCATAGGTATTTTTCCTTGTGACTAGTTCAGATGTAGAGACAAACCTTGGTTTGCTGTAACGTGTACAAACCAGGGCAATCATCAAATTCACATGTTTTCCCCTCTTCCATTTCCCTCCCCTTTATGCATTGGAGGAACAAATGTAAAGCTATAGTTGTAGTTTGTAACAAACGGGTTAGTGCAAATTATCAAATGCTGGTTTGGATGCCTCACGTTCTCAGTTTTTGATGGAACAGGAAATCATGGTTTGTTACAAACCGATAATGAAAGCTTCACATTTCTACCACTTCACGTTTGAAGTGGGGGAAAGGAGACGAGGAGCACATGATCCTGAGACTTGCTGCTGGTCATTCACATAATGAAAAACCATGACTTTTTGTTGCATCTGTTCAAGACCTATATGCCAGTAAAATGAGGATGCATCAGTAGATCAAGAGAACCTCCGCTGAAAGAGTTTGGTCATTATGATACATTTAGCTCAGACAAAATGTGAGATGATGACATTCAAACCAAAGGGGGGGGCTAAGCTTTTTTTGGCAAGGTCCTTTGTAGTTTGGACAAAAGATTCACTTGGTAGATTCTATACATTTTAATTTGCTGATATGTCATTGTAGTTGACATGAAATTTGTCTCCAATAGAAGCATGTCTATAATTGAATATCTTCACATTTTATGGCTGCTAGCTTCCTAACCATCTATTGATAAGGTTCAGGTTATAGTTCAGGTACACTGGGTGTGTAATAGGAGGGCTAAAATTAGCTGATGATTTTTCAAGCGCATTTTTAAAAAGAAAAGTGGTTAAACAGTGCTAGGAACAGAAATGTTAAAAGTAGTTTATCTAAAATTTTAACATCTCTTTTTTTCCTCACCACTGTACAATATGTATATATGTCAGTTTTTGATCAACAGATCAATTCTAGAAAGATTGCTAATTGCTTATTTCAATAAAGATAGTTTTTCCATATCACAAGGTTTGAAGGTCAATTTTATAGCATTTACCTATGTGATTGTAACTGATCCTATAACCAGGTTTTAATCTGAACATATTCCTATTGATTTGTTGTTGTTGTTGTTGTTGTTGTAGTTGTTGTTGTTGTTGTTAGAATTTATGCACCGCCCCATACCTCTGGATCTCAGGGCAGTTCACAGAACAAAGTCAAAATATAAAACCACAAAATATATAATCAAAATAAAAACAACAACCCAATAACCCCCCCCAAAAGAACCACATTTTAAAAGGGCATAGGATGTTAATCAAATCAACCAAAGGCCTGATTAAAAAGGAACGTTTCTGCCTGGCACCTAAAACGTGTATAATGAAGGCGCCAAGCAAACCTTCCTGGGGCGAGCATTCCACAGACGGGGTGCCACTGCAGAGAAGGCCTGTTCTCATGTTGCCATCCATAACTTATCTGATGGTGATTTGATTCTATTCAGTGAGCAACATCCCACATATTCCAAAATTATCATATTTCATCACTGGCCTTGCTAAATTTTATCTGCTCAGCAGATCTTTGGATCATTTGTAAATTGTAAATGAGGTTCCCGTTTCACTGCTTTGGGTCACATGCATTGCTTGTAAAGATAGAATAACTAACTACCTGTTGGAGCAAGGATGAGGACCCTCATGCCTGGGCGGGGGAGACCAAAACAGCCCTCCAGCCCTCTCTGCCTGGCCCTTTGCATTCATCCCAGGTCACAGTCAACCTTACTTTATACCCACTTTGAGTGTTTTTGCCTGGCTGGATTGTGTTCTTGAACTCTGATAGTGCCTCTTAGTATCCTGGATGAGAGTATGGAGTTGAGTGTGTAAGTGTGTGTAGAATCAAGCCTGCTATATGAAGGTAAACTGTAGATTAGTTGCCTTACCCACTTTGCCTCTGGGCTTGCTCACTATTGTGGACTACAGTCTGGAAAAAGGGTTCCCCATCTCTGCATTAGAAACTGCATTGCACGTTGGACCATGGTAAAATGTTAAGAGGCAGGACAACACCGTAACATTATGCCCAATTACTTTTTAGACTTTGGTTTTTGGTTTTTGTTTTTTTAAAAAAGACTGTCTTTGACCAGAGGGTCCCAGCAACGTGCTTATTTCTATGCTTTCATTACTTGGCTTTAATTCCTAACCTAAAAGCCACCAGTTTCTTAGTCTTTATCCTGCATTGTCTCCAGTATGACATTATGTCTGGAAGACACTTGAAGAAGCAGTGCACACTCCAAAAAGATGTGGATCTTTCCCACCAAATGGAACTAAGCAGGCTAGTTCCTAGATTTTATCGGGGTGGGAGAGGTGCTCTTTGATATATTGACATGCACATGTATGCATGCTCTTAAATGGAATACCTGCTGCCAAGTTGGAGGAGAAGTGTGAACACAACTGCTCAGGCATAGCTGATGCATGATCCCCGGTAGTAGTTCACACCTCATTAATGGGGAGCGAAGTGGCCTTTGCTATCCAATGTTATGAAATGTCCTTGAATGTTATGAAAATCTGGCTCCCTCTGCTGCATTTTTACCCATCTTGAGTCATAGATATGGCACCGGAAGAGTGTTTGAATATCACCCTCTGAGCTTCCTCTAAAGACCTTCAGATATCTTGAGAATTTTAATAAATGATTTGACTCATACATTCCAGAAGGATAGCCAGATCACAATATCTGTTATCTCAAAAACAACAAAGAGATTTGTGGCACTTTAAAGACTTAACAGTTCAATTCTAGGCATGACCCAATGAAACTTATTCGCAGGTAGGTATTAGAGGATTGCAACAAATACGTGACAATAATTTGGTTAGTTCTTAAGACACCACAAGATTCTCCATTGATGCCCCAATTGTAGGTTTTCTGAGGATAAAAAAATTTGACAGCTCTTATATTCAAAAATGGAGAAGTGCACAAAAAGTTGTTACAGTGGAAAAACCCAGCAGAAAATTCTAAATTCTTTGAACAGGCAACAACTGTTTTGTGGGGGGGTTATGTTCTTGACCCCTGTGCACATCAGTGGGGTGTGCATAAGCCCATTCTGCCCCATTATGCCTCTGCCCCCCCCTTTCAGACCATTTCCAGGTTGTGGTGATACACATGTTCACAGATATGCACATATTGGACAAGCATGAAACAGTTGTTGCCTGTAATACAATTTTATTCAGTAGCAAATATACAGTACTTAGTGGCATTCACAGATCAATTATTATTATGTTGCACCTACTATGAGGCTATGCTATAGCATTACTTGGACTACTATTTTACCTGATTTTCTTATTCTTATTAAATATGTTTACAGGCCATATTTGACTGGGTGGATATCGCTGGCAGTAAATTAGCTGCAATGTCACCAGTTGGAACAGACCTAGAAACAGTAAAACAACAGACAGAAGAAATGAAGGTATGAAACAGTAGCTTCTTATGGATGTACAACTTTCTGTTAGTGTTCCAAATCACTTTGCATTCAGTCTGTAACAAAAAGTAAATTATTTTCATATGGGCATGTTGTTTAAAAATCTACAGCCTTTCTGAGTCTGAAAGTAATATGACATCAGTTTCCTCTCCGAGTTAATTGTGGATTTTTTTCAAGAGCGGTTATTTTTTCATCACTGCATCAATTACTTTTATGACACCCAGCTTCCCTTTTAGAATGTGCACAAGTTCCTGCAAAGCCTGTCATTCTTCATACCATGGATTAGTCCTAAACATTCATAGATCTCTTCATTTCCACCGCAGCCCACTGGACTATAAAGCAAAATCCCCAGCCAACTCTAAAAGCAATATTTGGAATGGAAATATGACTCATTCTTTTCATAATACCTGGATGCTGCTGTGTGCTTTGCACAGGAAGCAGAGATGGTATAGGATATCCTGTTTTAGGGCACAGGATTAGACTGGATGAATCCACTCCAGCCCTGTTATTGTATGTGCAAAGCAGGGCTTCAATATGTTGGGAAATTAAACAGGAAATTTAACAGCCAATATTTAAGCCCTGTCTCTTAGCAGGGGTTGGAGATTGAAAATTAGGGTTAAGAAATTACTTCTAAAAATGAAAGCGGGGATTAAGAGATCATCAAAACAGGGCAAAGTGGTGATAGTGATGCATCACCTTGACCCATGGGTATACAGTAACAGGGGTGAGGGGGAAGCCCTTCTACATTTCTCACTTCTCTCTTATTGAATCAGTGTGTATCTTTGGTAAAAGATGTTAGTCTGGATAGGGAATAGGATTTTGTGAATGGGTCACAGCAGGGAGGCTTCAGAGAGTGTTGGCTGGCCGCCCAATGACTTGTAGAGAGTGCTGAGGGCAGAAAGAAGTTATTGATGAATCCTTCTGCCTTGGATCTTCAATAAGCTTTGGGTGTGCAAAGGATTCCCTTCCTCTTCTCTGTCTGGCTCATCTCTGTTGGGTGGTTTTTCTTCCTCCATGCTTTTTGCAAACACTGTAGGGATATTTTGAATAAGGATGTATCATGGACATGTCCACATGGTCATCTGCCTTGAGCTCCATGCTTTTGTGTGCATTTGGAAACCGGGATATGACCCCTGGAACGGCTGTTGCCATTTCCTCTAAGGCTAGCAACATGCCTCTAGCAACAGAAATTCTGTGAATCCCATAAGTCATGCAGTTGGTGGGGAAACTAATGTTGCTAAAGCCTCGAGCACATTCTCACATTGGTGATTGGTTGCTGAAGTGTCGTTCTTCCACATCTCTGCATTTATTTATAATTACATCTAATTCAGAGATGTAATGATATTAAAAAAATGCATGCCCAGAACTGTGACTCATGTAAAAATACAAGGGGTAGACTCTTCTGGATTCAGCTAATTTATTTATTACATTGATTAGATACTCCATAACCACAGGAGTGTCAAACAATTAAAAGAATTTAAAGTATAAATCCAATAAAACATGAAATAACACCACCAAAAATTGTAGAAAACAACACTAATGTCAGAGCAAACTGGGTCAACAGTCAGGTAAATATAACAATGGACAAGAGAGAACCACAAAATATCATTGTACAGGTAAAGCTATATTCTAACCCTCAAAGAATGCAGACATTAATATCTCTCTGTGCGTGTGCATTGTCGCAGCCAACAAGCTATGTTTCTCACCTCTCTTTCCAATGCCATGCTGCTTACCAAGAGGGGTAGGGTGAATGCAACAAGAGCTCGACATGGCGCAGGAGCAGTGGTGGACCCAGTCTCATGCTCCCATTGCTGTACCCACACCTGTTGCCTTGGCTCTGCTACTGTCCCTCTTGGTAAGCAGCAGCAATGGATGGCATTGGGAAGACAGGAAACACACACTCAGGTGCAACAGCTGCTACTGCATGCACGTGCGCGCACACACAAACTAATTTTTAAATTTGTTTTTAAAGTTCCTGCTTTTGCATGCTGGGTGCATTTTCTTTTCTGGTGCAAGAGTGAAGCGTGCCTTCTGTGTTCATTTGGAGAAAACACATGCCTTAGTTGTTGGAAATCCAGGGGCAGATATATCCAGTGTGACCTATTTGGCAATTTTGAAGTAAGGACAGAGCATCCTACTAAGCACTCTTCTCTGGGTGATATTCATTGTTGACTATTGTCTTCCTTGGTTTCCACAGCAATTTAAGAAAGAAGCCTATCAGCAGCAGATTGAAATGGAACGGCTGAACCACCAAGCAGAGCTGTTGTTGAAGAAGGTGACAGAGGAGAGTGATAAGCACACCGTACAAGACCCCTTGTCTGAACTTAAGCTGTTGTGGGAAAGTCTGGAGGATAAAATTGTTAGCCGCCAGGTAAATGGAAACTGAAAGGGTAATATTCTGCCTTATGTTGCCATGAAATGCATGTTCTCTGGCACTCGTGCTCTGAAATTTCAATAGCAACAGTTTCTACGTGGAAACTCACTTGTGTGTCAAAGTTTATTACGTGAGCTAGGGAAGAAGTTCTCAAAACTGTGGCCTTTCATTCAGGTAATCCATAGCAGGTCGGCATCAAATACTCATATTACTTTTTGACAGTTTATTTATTTATTATTTTCAGTTAACATATTGCATCGTATTTTTAGTGTAGTACAATTTGAATTGATTGAAATGCAAATTGCAATACAGCAAAATACAGTACATTGGAAATAACTTTCTGACAGTAAGAGCTGTTCGACAGTGAAACGGACTCCCTCAGAAGGTGGTGGACTCTCCTTCCTTGGAGGTTTTTAAGCAGAGGTTGGATGGCCATCTGTCATGGATGCTTTAGCTGAGATTCCTGATTTGCAGGAGGTTGGACTAGATGACCCTCAGGGTCCCTTCCACCTCTACAGTTCTATGAAATACAAAAGCAATAAAAATATCACTTAAAATCATACAGCATCTAGCACGTTACATTACAGTTGCTATAACAGACAGAAAAATCATGGAATGGCCCACCAAGGCCATCAACATTTTTTAGTGGTCATGGGGGGAAAGGGGGTTTGGAAACCCTGAGCTTAGGGGATTTTCTGCAGTGCTATGGAAATGCAATGCAAACTTTAAATTGGGCTATATTTTAGGGTAGTATGGTCAAAATCTTCCGATCCACAAATTGAGCCACTACAGAAGAGCAATTTGACCCAAGGAGACAGCTGCCACATGGAGCAGTTTCCAATAAGCTTCCGGGCAGCAGATGTTTCTGCAAATCTGGCTGTTGTTGTTGTAGCTATGAAGCTAGAAGCTGTACACTGTAGTTATTTTTATTTATTTCTATGGGTTCACCAAAGTGCATTAGCAAAAAATATGCTAGTCCCTGCCCCAAGCAGATGGCAGGAGGACATATTCCAGTGTGTTTAGGGTCAGTGGTTTATTGTAAGTTGCTACACCACAATATTACATCAGACATATGAGGTACATGGGGAGAGATTGTTGAGTTTCGATGGTGGAGCTCCATTTTCAAATTTTGACCCAAACACGTAGCTTCACTGGTTGGTGTTGAGCAACTCTGTCTCTTTGACTAACTATCCAAGTTCCTTGGATGATAAAATGATGCCTTTTATATTACAGCTCACCCTGGGATGGATTTCTAAAAATAAATAATTGCAAAAGAACTTTTAACTTTGTGTCCCCTGTCTAGAATTGTTTTCAGATAATGTTGCTGCATTCAAGCGCATTACATAAAATTTAGATGGCATCTCTTATTCCAGGAGCAATTGGTGACAAGGGGGCGGGGGCGGCGCTTTGCCTCTGGCATCCTGGCAGTGGATTTGCTGCTGCTCACCAGGAGGGTGCAGGAGAAGGTGGTGGGGAGGCTGAGTGTTGGGTGGACATGTTGGTGGGAGTGCTAGATAGGCTCTGCTGTTCAACCTGCACAGTGTTGTGCAGCTGCTGGCTGCCTCACCTCTCAATAGTTGGAAGCAGCTCCACTGCCAGGAGGCCAGGTGTATAGTGACGCACCTCCTCGCTGACCACTTGCCTTATTGCAATCATTCATTTGAGGCTTGATGCAACTAAGGACATTTTAAATCACTTGTGGCCTTAACATAAAGTAATAATTCCATCCATTCCCCCCCCTTTTTTTTTTTACAGCATAAGCTGGAAGGCGCTTTGTTGGCTTTGGGACAGTTCCAACATGCCCTGGATGAGTTGCTCGCATGGCTCACCCATACAGAGGACCTGCTGAATGAACAGAAACCTGTGGGTGGTGACCCTAAGGCTATTGAAATTGAGCTGGCCAAACATCATGTACGTAACTGAGAATTCTGAGATTCACTGCTTTAGATATATCTGGATCCTTTTTATGGCAACGTTTGCAAAGAGCATTTTCGTACATCACCAAATCATGATTTCAAAGGATGCAAGCCCAAAGATAAATTTGTATTACAAAACATAATTGCTAACGTATAGATATTGCTGTTTCCTCCCTTCTTTACGTTTCCCAGTCATGGATGGTTCAGAACATCTCATTGGTTAAAAAAAACGTATTCTTGGCAAAGCATCACATACCTGTCGTGGCTTAATAAATGAATTGCAGGTACAGAAAGCGTTCAGCAAACACTCACTCTTAGGTACTTCCTGCTCATTTAAGTCTTCCATGCTAGAGAGTACTTCCTCTTTGATCATCAAAAAATTCAAGAACTTGGCAAGCAGTTGCCATTGTCCTAAAAGAGTGGAGGGGAGAAAAAGTGGCACCTGTTTCTGTAATAAAAGTTTGACTTTTTCGAATTGATGGACATTTATTTAAAACAATGAATAATAAATCTTTTTCCATGTTTGACTTGTAACACAGATGTGAGAGTGTATTCAAACATAGTTCTCACTTCACTAAATCACATCATACACTGTAAGTTTCCCTTTCCTGCACTATGAAGACCGTTACGGTGATATAATTTCGTTTCTCTCTCTTTTTTTAAAGAGATGTTTATTAAGCATTTAAAGATTACAAAAAACAAAAAGAAAACACAATAAAAAATTAACAAACATACATTACAGTACATCTAAAATAAAGAAAAAACATAAACAACAAAACAGCAAAAAGAAAAAAAAACATTAAAACACATCCAATATTTCATAACTTTACCTTTCATTTACTTATTTCCTCGACCTCCTCACACCTCCCTTTTTGTATTCTAGTTCAATTTACTATTTCAGCAAATTCTTTCCATCTTTCTCAATTTTTCTTCTATAATTTACCTTAACCCAATCTGACTTTAAATTTTACACTTTGGCCCATTAACAATCCATTTTTACTTTATTCTTTATAACATTTCTGCTAAAACCATGTAACTTCATTCCAGCATCCTTCTAACATTCATTAATTTTACTATATTTTTGTAAATATACTTTGAATTTTTTCCAATCTTCTTCCACCGACTCTTCTCCCTGGTCTCGGATTCTGCCAGTCATTTCCGCCAGATCCATGTAGTCCATCAGCTTCATCTGCCATTCCTCCCTGGTGGGTAGATCTTGTGTCTTCCAGTGCTTTGCGATAAGTATTCTTGCTGCTGTTGTAGCATACATAAAAAAAGTTCTATCCTTCTTTGGCACCAATTGGCCGACCATGCCCAGGAGAAAGGCCTCTGGTTTCTTCAGAAAGGTATATTTAAATACCCTTTTCATTTCATTATAGATCATCTCCCAGAATATAATTTCGTTTCTCTTACCCCAAATCTGAATGTTACACATAGGATCAATCCACTTAACGATTCCTGCAACAAACATCCATTTCCGCTATTTTCATATGGCAAATTCTCTTTATTTGCCCATTGGCTTAAATACCATTTTCTTCAAACTCCCTAAAAATGTTTCTCTTGACTTGGCAGCCATCCCTGAGATGTAACGTCCATTCTCACAGGGTTCAGCATATAGGAAGATTTGGATAGCTTGGCATAACTTCATGAAGAAATTAGCAGAATGTTACATAACACCCCTGAACCCATATACTTTGAGCCTTGATGCACTCCCCATGCTTTGGCCACTTAGCCATCCTTAGAGGTCCTAAATAGGAGGAGCTATCCATGGGGACAGGCAGTTGCACCCCTCTCTTGACTGAACCATAATCCTCAAACTCAAAGCTTTCATTTTTTTAAATGGCAGGTTTCTATAATGAATAGGATAATAGGAAGAGCATAATAAGAGTCGAAATATGCGGACAGTATTCTACTACATGGGGAGAAATTAGGCTGCTCCCGCACCTTCATTGTTGGCTGACAACCAAATAGAATTAGAAAAAATGCATGGAGAAGAGGGCTATCGATTGCTACTAAACATGAACAATATGTCTGCACAATTGGACTCATCGGTGCTTCTGAATACCAGTTGCTGGAAAGCACAGGAGACTGGGAGTGTTCTTGTGCTCAGGTCCTATTTGTGCATTTCCCAGAAGCATTTGATTGGCCTAACCCAAAAAATAATTCTTGTGAATGCCCATGCCTCCTAGTTAAGTTAATGGGATGCTATCATGTCTGGATTCCCTTTATATCAACCATAACAGTAATGTTGTAAGAAATACTTTGCTATTAGGAGAGTATAAACAGTTATGAAAGTAAAGAAAAAACGCTAAATTTAGTCATAGCTTCTTTTACAAATAGAGCACACTAAAATATGTCATGATGTTTGGTAGTAAAGATAATGTTGTTAGGTCAGGGATAATTGTAAACTATTAATGATAGTCGCATTCCCTTAGGCAAACTCTGAATCCTGTATGTTCTATTCTTAAATACTGCCCACAAAGTTTTTTTTACTGAAATTATTATGTTGCTACTTTAGTACAACTGAGTGAAATTAGCGTTTTTAAAATACGGCGAGGCATGACATGTTTGTAACTGCAGGTGCTGCAAAATGATGTCTTGGCTCACCAGTCCACTGTGGAAACAGTCAAGAAAGCAGGAACTGACCTTATTCAGTCAAGTGCTGTTGAAGAAGCGAGCAATCTGCAAAGCAAGCTGGAACTTCTGAATCAGCGGTGGCAAAATGTCTTGGAAAAAACAGAAAAGAGGAAGCTGCAGCTGGACAGTGCTTTGATCCAGGTGTGTATGAGAAACTGAACAAAAGGGAAATAAACTTGCATTGAATTAATATATTTGAGCTTAAGTACACATTTGTACAGCAGTGTTTCTCTGTCTGTGCCTAACTGTACTGTAATTAATATTTGCAGTCTTATTTACTGATGTATTTACTGTATGGATGATTTTAAAAAATGCATTTCCAATTGGAATTATTTGAGATATAAAATATAATTAGCAAACACCCGCATCTATATATCTCCATTAAAAGTTTAGTACAATTGATGAAATGTTTGTGGGTCCTTCCTTCCTTCCTTCCTTCCTTCCTTCCTTCCTTCCTTCTTTCTTTCCTTCTTTCTTTCACATTTTACCCTGTTTCATTATACGGACAACAATTTGCAGTTTTTACTCCAGAGGATATCTCTGGTTTAGTAGCATTTCTTTTTAGAGTCCCCCCCCCCTTAAGTCTGATTTCATAGGCTCAACATTTACAACCCCTTAGCTGATGTAGCATGTTAGGTTATTGAAATATGTTCTGAAATGCTGTGGTGATGTATCACTTAGGCCCAAGGTTTCCATGGTGAAGTTGAAGATCTGCAACAATGGCTGACAGAAACGGAGCGTCAGCTTTTGGCATCGAAACCAGTTGGTGGTTTACCAGAGACTGCAAGAGAACAGCTTAATATCCATATGGTAAGGATCTCAATATTGCAGATGGTCCCAATTTGGAAGCTAAACTTTTGTGGCCGTTAGTAGTGAAACATTTGCAAAGTGAAATAAGGTTTAATGAGAACACTCTCTCTTTTTTTGGTAATTTACTAAGTAGCAAAACTGATTGAGCAGTACATGTGTATGTCTGAGCAGTTCTCAGCATTATTTTACGGGGAAGAAAAAGACTTTAAGGGTATCGTTGATGATTCTGTTACTCAGCTATAAAGTTTAGCTGAGTACTAGAGTCATCAAGAATACCCTTAAAGTCTTTCTCTTCCCTGTAAAATAATGCTGAGAACTGCTCAGACAGTTGAGTTTTTTCCTTTTTCCTTTTCTGTATATCCTCTTCTTTAAACCAGATTGTTTTTGAATTTACTTGCAGTCTCAAATTTGAGAGCTTATTCTATTGTTCCTTAGCTTTTGTTAGGACATTTTTTAAAAAGCTAGCCAATGATTGCAGAACATTCTCCATTTATTATTTCCTGCCTCATCAATACAACTCATGTTACCAGTACACAGAGGCAAAGACTGTACTATAAGTTACCAGACAGCACAACGGTATTCTTCTTTTCAGTGTCTGAATGAAGTAGTTCAGAGCCAAAACCTCATTAACAGTTCCCTGCCCTCTTGTACTTAGAATATAAGATTAAGTTCTTAATTGCAACTAGGTTCAGATTTAGGTTATCATTCAGTGGTGCTGCAAGCATGTGCAGCATTGCAACCAAGATCTGGACTGTAAAGAAGTGACACTCACGTGTGGGAGAGAGCTTTTCTACTTACTTCCTTTTTAAATGAAACAGCTTTTAAATAGAACAGCCAGCCCCAGGCAAACAAGGCACACAAACTGCCTTTCTTTGCACCCCAGCCTTGGTGTATATTTCTTAGAAAAGCTAACTTAGACGATAAGTACATATTTGGCAGAGATGCAAAGTATAGCTGGTGGGTTTTTCTGTATGCAGCTTCACAATCTTTTGTGGTTATGCCTTTGTTTTCAATCAGCTTTGATCACCATGGCCTGGTAAGATGGTTCATTTCACGCAGAAATTTAAGGGCACAGGCCAAAGCTTATGACTGTCACACACACAAAGTAATAAATCAGATTTTACTGGGCTGTTTCTTGTGTTCTGAACAGCCCTTGTTTTAGCCTCTCTTTTGAACCTGGAGAGGGAAGGGAGAAGTGGCATATCCATGCCCCTGGAAATTAGTTGTGGGCTGCAGACTGCCCAGGTCTGGAAATGCACAGTGGCACCTCCTTTGTTCAACTCACATTAACTCCCCAAAATATAGCTAGCATGTTTAAAGTAATATGTGAAACTTTTAAGGGGGTAACATTTTCGAATAAATGTTTATGCATTAACGATTTGCAATACTTTCCCTCTTTGCTTAGGAACTCTGTGCTGCCTTTGAAGCTAAAGAAGAAACATACAAGTGTCTGATGCAAAAGGGCCTACAGATGCTTGCAAGATGCCTAGAGACTATTGAAACAAATGTTGAGCAGGACATAAATAATCTTAAAGAGAAATGGGAATCGGTGGAAACAAAGCTGAGTGAAAGAAAAGTATGTTGCATATTGAACATGGGGAAATTCTCTGAAATGTGTCTTAATATTAGAATATTGCAAATACAGAATTTTCCTTTTAGTAGGCGCTAGGGATCCATGCAATTAAACCTGTAAATGATGTCACACACCATGATTCATCTGGAAAAGCTGATCAATAAATTACATGGCAGCAGACCAATGTTTGTAAATGAAAACACCTCCTATTGTAGTCTATAGGTCGCAGACCTAAGGAATGAATAAATCCTTTCTAGCCACCCAGTCCATCATCCTGTCAGCTTGGAACTGATGCTTTAATTTTATTGCTGGCATTTGAACATAGCAGTTCTTAAAAGTTTTAAGTGATGAGGCCTCTCTCGTGCCCTCTGGGAGGCGACCTCATATTCCTGGATAAGCATCTTACTCATAGCTATGGGTTTCCATGGGGGTGGACATTCTTTTGTAAAAAATAAAATAAAATAAAAAATACTCCAAACATAGATAAACAGTTTACTCTGAGCCAGACTATAAATTACATCTTGAAACAGCTGAAATATAAATGTGTTCATAAGAAACAGAAATGATTAAACAAACAAATGAAGCCATTCTTGGAAAAAGGAGTATTTGCATTCTCATATAATGTAAATTTAAAGGATTGTTTCAATTGTATAGACGACCTGGGCCAGCAAAACCTTTGGGTAGTCAGTACAGTTATGTATGATATTGTAGACAAACCATATTGACACCCAACACATTATATTCTTCAGCTGTATGAGAAAGGGGCCCAGTTCACATTATATCACTAAACCATTGTTTAGCATTGGGGGATCAGTCGCAGCTAGCCTCAAAACTTAAGTTGCAGCTAGACTAGCCTCTAGACACATTAAAGAAGTGTTTCAGTTAAATGCGTTGTAAATTTAAACAGGGGAAACAGGTAGAGAAAAACGGGACTCCACAGCGCCATCTGGTAGGACACTGTTATATCGCATATATAATCTAGCTGAGTCCTTGTTCACTCCCCTCTCCTCCCCACCCCGAGGGGAAGATCGAAAGCTTCCACTTCCATTTTGGATAAACCACTGTTTAGCACTGCATCTGAACCATAAACTGCATAAACAAGACAGCTTCTTAAACTATGGCTTATTATTATTATTTTTTTCATTTCGGCAAGCCATAGTTAAGATTAAACACATGAGTTTGGATGCTATGAAAGGCTCTAGTTAATAAATAAATAAAAATGAAACCTCCTGAATTTCTCCTTCTGACTGTGCCATAGTGGGGAGGACAGGAGCTTAAGACTCACTCTCATAACATCTGAAACAGCAGTAATCTGTACGGTGGAAGAGAGGGGGGTAGCTTCCGTTCTGCACAAAGACTTACCAGCCCCAAAGTTGTCTGAACTAGACCTGCGTTGTGCAAAAAAGGATAGTCTCCATAGTGCAAATTCCCAACTTTATCTTCCTAATCCTTCATGCAATGCAACCGCATATCATCCCCTTTTCATGCAAGCAGAATCAAAGCTGAAATGATGTTCCTGGATTACTGCCTGAATATTTGTAAGGCTCATCATTTAGCACTGAATGGCAGGAATCTGTATGTGGCATTGGATGCTCTTCTGCCTGCTCAGTCCTTGTAGGTTCTCTGTTTTGTCAGTTTCTGCTGAAATATTTTTAGAAATATCTTTGTTTGTGTGTTGTTTAAATATTCAGAGCATACCAGTATTAAACTGGGGGGCGGGGGGGGGGCGTAGGCAACAGGACAACAGTGGCCTTCTTCCAAATTACATTCAGACATGATTTGGTTTATTTCTCTATAAAGTTTATATAGTTTCTAGTATAAACTGTCCACTGCTGCTAATTTATGGTGTGTTCTTACAGATCAAACTGGAAGAAGCTCTCAATTTGGCAATGGAGTTCCACAACTCACTGCAGGACTTCATCAACTGGCTTACTCAAGCTGAGCAAACCTTGACAGTAGCTTCTCGGCCAAGTCTTATCTTGGATACTGTCTTGTTTCAAATTGATGAACACAAGGTATGTACAGAAAAAACAACAGATGTGCAACTTTCCTTGGACCCACAGGCTGGCTGGCTTGTATTAATGTTTAAAGCAAGCCAGCACCATTAAAATCCAAAGACATTTTACAGTTTTTTAAAGTGACATTTTATAGTGTCTCTGACAAATAACACCATCACTTCTTAGGTATATATCTGCGTGCTAGAAGACTGAAGCTTTTCAAATATTATCTTTTTTCTTTCTTTCTTTCACAAGGTCTTTGCCAATGAAGTGAATGCCCACCGTGACCAGATTATTGAGCTGGACAAAACTGGAACACATTTGAAATACTTCAGCCAGAAACAGGATGTTGTCCTCATTAAAAATCTGCTGATCAGTGTCCAGAGTAGATGGGAAAAAGTAGTTCAGCGCTTAGTGGAAAGAGGAAGAGCTTTGGATGATGCAAGGAAGCGTGCCAAGCAGGTAATGTGGCAAGTCTTCCATAACAATTTGAGCGTAACCTTGCTGTAATAAACCCATGTTTAAATGAACAGTGTGAAGACTTTAAGTCATCTAAAGGAAACTGGAATATTAGTTCAACAGGTTTGGCAAGTAGTGGGAGCCAGAATGGCTTTTTCTTCAGGCCCGACACCAAAAGTGAAAGTAGAATCTTTACTTTCCAACCAAGCGACAGAGTGGTATATGGATGCAGATGTTTATTAGCAGTGTTCCTGTTTTGCATGGGAAGTTCATCCTTATTTTATTTTTCACAATCATCTTCATTAATACACCATTTTCTGAAACAAATTGCAACCTCTCTACATGGGTGCTTCTAGCCTTCTCAACATTTTTGTAGTTTCAACTTAGGCTGAGGTTCATTATCAAAGGGATATGCCTGTGGAGGGACCATGCCATTTCAGGTTTTTTTGTATGTGTAGAGGAGGTGGATGAAAATCAGAGCCCATATTTTGGTGGGACAGAGAGATGGCTACATGAGGCAGGCAACTCAAACTTTTGATTATGTGTGTTAGTTTTTCATGTGGGCTGCAGTTGTCATGTGGGGTATTTTTAAACAAAACAACATCCCATATAAAAAAATAAGGAAGTACTGTCTTTGCATGATTACAGTACCCTCACAACAGCACTTTATCATATGTGTGAATCATCCCAACAAGATAGTGTGTCTAAGGAAAGAGTGGCAAACCCATGGATCACATGGGACCCATGAGGCTGTCAGGCAACTTACTTGCCCCCAGAAAATTTGGGACCTCTTCCTCCACTTATTAGCAAAGGTGCCTCTTCTCCTTCTGCTGTGATGCCAGAGGTAGGACACTGAACTCAAGAAACAGAAACAGAAGCACTTCCTTCTGTTTCCTGAGCTCCAGGTCCTGCTTGCAATGTTTCCTCGCCAAAAGAAGAAGAGGCACATTGGCAGGGTAACTGGGGGCCTCTTGTTCTCATTCCAGCCCTGGGCTAGGAGGAAAGGATCCCCTCTTCCTAGTCCGGCACCAATGTTGGCAGAAAAACAGTATGCATGTTTTATTGACCTCTAGGTATGCAAGTAGATAAATAGGTACCGCTCCGGTGGGAAGGTAAACGGCGTTTCCGTGTGCTGCTCTGGTTCGCCAGAAGTGGCTTAGTCATGCTGGCCACATGACCCGAAAGCTGTATGCCGGCCAATAAAGCGAGATGAGCGCCGCAACCCCAGTCATCCGCAACTGGACCTAATGGTCAGGGGTCCTATTACCTTTACCTTATGTTGTGTGTATGTGTGTGTATGTATAGTGTATGTTTCTACATGTGGTGGGTACATGGGTGGCAGCATGTTATTTGCATTTGTGCTGAGCGTATGTGGCCCTTGAAGGGTTCAGCAACCCTCAGAGTGGCCCTCGGGCCAGAAAGGGCCACTCCTGGTCAAGTAGATATGTCACTGGGTCAATAGAGGTTGGGAGTCTTGGATTTTCCCAGCATGGGGCTTGAACCTTATACTCTGCTGACTGAGCAATCACAGAGAAATTTCAAATAATTTGCATCACTCTAAAAGGGAAATAGTCCTTTGGTCCAACATTTATTTGTGTGAGTCCAGTCTGGATTGCCTGGCTTTTAATATTGTGGGTCTGATTCAACGAAGTTGTTGCGCCAGTGGAAGCCAGCACCATGAGTTCTGCCAATGCAACTTGACTTCCCGTCCTCGCCTACCCTGCAGCCTCCCCGTTTAAATTAGTAGACATGACTGACTCAGACCCATTAATTTCAGTGCATACACTCTGAGTGAAACCTAACTGAATGCAACCCTTCATATTTTTCAAAGCTAAATGTGCATTGAATGTTTTGAATGCATAATCTATGCCTATCAATGTATGTAATTGAAAATCTTGCTTTTCCACAGTTCCATGAAGCCTGGAACAAACTTACTGAATGGCTGGATGATTCAGAAAAGACTCTGGATGCAGAGCTTGAAATTGCAAATGATCCAGACAAAATTAAGATGCAGCTTGCCCAGCATAAGGTGAGTCACTGGGAATGGAATGTAGAGGCTGTCCAATCAGATGGCAGGAAAGCCAGTGAACCAAGCACTGTGTAATTAGCAGGAGGAGGGAGATTTATTGGTCACTAGGTTGGAATGTTTGCCACCATCAAATTCAAACACTGGCAGTTTTCCAGCTTGTAAAATAAATAGAAGCTGGGAGGTTTCTCTGCAGGGTTCCATCTTCTGAAACTACATGTGGAAAGGAAAAGCACAATAGTAAAGAATCATAGGAACAAGATAAAGGGCACTATGCTATTTTTTCCTGTGTGCAATGTTATAGGACAATAGGATCTGCTAGAGTTTAACTACACTCAAGACGGGCTCAGAGATTGTGTGGATCACCATTTGTAACACTTTTTTAAAAAAACAAAAAACAACCCAGCTTATCTCTTGTCCACCTCTATTAACCTCTCATTCCCCCGATACATGGACAGTCATAAAATAGCCTCAAAAAATCCTAGCTACTCCTCTTAGCAAATATTTGTATGTTGCATGCCTTTGGTTGCTGCATGTTTTCAATCTTCCTTTTATAAAGTAAACCATTGAGGCATTGTTGAAGGTTTTAATGCTTTTAGTATCTAAGGCTAAAGACCGTAGACTAGGCTCTATTTGATATATGGAATAACTTGGCTTCATTCTTTGGGAGTTTGTCAAATAAGGAGAGATGAAGATTTTAAAAATGAGCTGTCTCATATTTGTTACATATTGCCAAAGATTTGAAGGAGTATTCATTGCCTTTTTATCAGTCCCCAACCACCACCAAGCTCTTTACATGTTATATTTAGAAGTCAGTGAAGAAAGAATGGGCCGTGTAGTTTGTCTTAATCCCTTTTTCAAGGATTTTTTTTAAAAAAAGAATATTGATATATTTTAAGGCAGGGGTATCTTTCAAAAAATTGCTGGACTACAACACCCATCATCCCTGACCATTTGTCATGTTGGTTGGGGCTATTGGAGGTCCAAATCATATTTAGGTCACCACATCAGCTACCCCCCCCCCCATTTTTAGGTTAATATGCACCTCATTACAAGTCAACCTCCATTTACTTTACAGAAGTGACATTGGTAGGATAATTCTTTTTGAGTCAATGACTGTAATTGCTTGTGAGTTTCATTCTAGAGAATATTTGTAAATGATATAGCCACCAAAGAATTCACAAAATTGAGTCTTGCCTTTCTACTGACCAACATTTCTTTGGCGGATTCCTTATTTGTGCCTTCTTGCAAAAGCATGATAGATGTACATCTTGATAATCTTAGCACAGCCGTACTCCAGAGAAGATAGCAATACAGAAATAATCAAGCATTTGATTGTTTACATGGGGAGCACTCACTCTCTGTAGTATTTAGCATTTAATACTTTCTTAAGTAGTGTACTGAATGCAAGATAACCTAAGGTTTGTCATGTTCCTTTTTTAATGGTAAAGAATGGAATAATATTTTCCAGTGTAGCTTCTTTATTCTAGTCCATAAGTCAGTAAACCTAAGGTATTGGGTTTCAGATGATTTAACATGGACTTCTACATTGATTTGAATGCTAGTGATTTGGTGTAAATGCTTTGTAGAAGACAGTCCAAACTTGTGCACTATCACTTCAAGCTGAGCACCAATGCCTTGCTACCATTTCTCTTGCATAACTTATTTTAATTGCTCAATTAAAGTCATTTGATTGATAGTCTTATTGATCCCAGGGACACGAGGTATATTCTGGAATAAATGCCAGCGGGTTCTGGAATCTAAATGTCCCGGTGACATTTCATGATATTTCCTTGCTAAATGTAGTTTGTATGAAAATCTCATTCATTGTGTTTGGCCCTGTTCACACATCTGATAAATCATAGATAATGATTGACCATGAACACGCCTAGCTGGGCTGTTTATTTCCTCCCTACCAATACACAGAAGACTCAAACCCTGATCCTTGGCTTTGGGATCATGCTTTATTTCACTGTCAACAAGCCATGACTGCTAAGCCAAAAGCGGAGCTTTGCTAGAAATTGTGGTTTGTTGGGAGAGAAACAAACCACGATCCCTGGTTCAGATGTAACGCTAAGCCAGGGATCGTAGCTGATTCGTTTCCTCTGCACGTGAGATGGGAAGAGTGAAGTGGGCATAATTCATCCATGCATTATAAGCCATGTTTTATGGCTTACCATGATGTGTGAGTGTGGTCTTCGTCTCCAAACGGCACAAAATAAGTTGTGTAGGTTATGTGTGTTGTGTGCTTCATATTGGGTCCCTTTCTTGAACAGGAGTTCCAGAAGGCTCTTGGAGCTAAACATTCTGTGTATGACACCACAAATAGAAGTGGACGTGCTTTGAAAGAAAAAACTTCCCTAGCTGATGACAATCTGAAACTGGATGATATGCTGAGTGAACTCAGAGACAAATGGGATACAGTATGTGGGAAATCTGTAGAAAGGTAAGACAAAAAAGCTTTGCATCTTACTTAAAAGAGTAAAGCAGTAGCTAGGTCACTCTCTCCTTAGCATCCCATTTTCCTTGGTCTTCAGTGAATGTCCCTGGTCAGAATAAAATTATGAGAGTCTCACTTTGAGCAGAGGATGTAGGTTCTTGGCTCCACTTCCCCATCCCTTAGAGTGTTTAAGACTGTGTACACATTATTCGCTTAAGATGAAGCTGATTGGGAAGGGGAGAAGGCATCAGAAATGCAGCATTTAATAAGGAATGACAGGCTAGATAAAGGATAGGTGTGGATTATCTCTAGCATCATGTGTACACTGTTTCTCAAACCAACATTGGAAATGCACTGGATGCAGAGTAAACGGGAGTGTGTATAACAGCCTAAATCTCAGAATAAGACAGCTGCAGAAAAGGTATTGGTTTGTTCTTCCAAGGGTGGTAGGAGGCAGAGGAGACCCATTTCATATTCAGCCAAGGTCTCTGGGATGGTTTAGAGCTCCATTTCAAAAGAAAGAGCCCTGTAAAATGGGAAGTGCATGGTCCAATTCCTACGCACTTTTCTTTATGTTGTATATTCCTTTAGTTTTAGGTTTGAGCTCAAATCTTGTCTCCTGAATATATGAACAATATATTCATTTGGCTCCTCCACTTGGTCTTGATAGAGAGGTGTATAAAGCCAGAACATTTTGTTTTGTTTATTGTTACCTCTGAAAACTCCCCCAGCCCAGTTGGAAGAGAGGAAGGGGTGGTAGTAAAACTGGAAGAGCATGTAGCCCCTGGAAGAGCGACTGATTGGAGGCAGGGCGAGGGGTCTAGGAAGTAGGAACTAGTAGTTGGCATGATAGAAGCAGAAATGTTGTTACTGTGGAGAGGCTGTAAATGAAGGAAGCTGCAGGAGGTAGGATGAATCCTAAAAGACCTAGATTTATGGTGTTAGAGTCATATAGCTGAGTGCATGGGCATAGGGTTCCTGTAGATCTGCAATCACTCTTCCCCCCCTTTTTTCACTTTGTCTGTCTTGTTTCCCACTTCAGACAAAACAAACTGGAAGAAGCGCTGCTGTTTTCTGGGCAATTTACTGATGCTCTTCAAGCTCTCATAGATTGGCTGTACAAAGTGGAACCGCAGCTGGCCGAAGATCAGCCTGTGCATGGAGACATTGATTTAGTGATGAACTTAATAGATAATCACAAGGTAATGGCCACAAAATTACAGTCATTTTCATATTATTTTGAATCAAGCTGTTCAAAGCATTTTGAGTAAATGCCTGTTGGGTCAATTTGTAACTTTTAAGAAAGATTGATGAGCCCGTTCAATAGGTTAAAAACCTTGGCCTGTGGTATAAAAACTGACTGGAGAGGGAAAAGAGCTTGCTGACTGCAACGAACAAGATTTATCTGAAACTTGCCTTCAGTGCTAAAGTTGATCTGCTACATTTTTCTTCATGCAGATTTTAATTCGGATTATTAGAACTAAAAACGCTCTTGAAAGTTTCTCAGAAGCAGTGGGTAATAGCATTAGCAGCCTTAGCTTTTTAGTCCAATCCATTTATAAGAGATGCAGAAACTCTGCTGCTCACATGTTCCACCATCTGCAAGGGCTGCCCCTTGTCTTTTAAAGGAAGCAAGAGATTTGTGGGCACATGCTTTTGCACATATAGAACTGCTGAGACAAAAAGAAACTGTCTCAGCAAAATATTGCAGAAGATGTGGAGCCCTGGATCAGAGTGTAGGAGTATAAGAGAGGCAGGGAGAGTGAAGGAGCCCCACGTTATCAAAGCTTGCACTAGTTTTCGGTTCCTTGTGTGCCTCGAGATTCCTAGTGAAAGTTTCAGGGGTTTTCAGTATGTTGTCTTCTTTTTTAATTGGCAGTGTTCACATGATCCCACATTGCATAAGGAAGATATTGTTGACCTAACGGTTTCTTTCGGAATATATGTAGGACTACTGATTTGTAAGAAGTGAGGGGGAAATTCAAATACGGTAGAGTAGCAAGGATTGAATAAAACAAAGCCAGACAGGGGGGTGAAAATATTTACGGGACTCACATTAGAAAACAAAATAATGTTCAGTTAAGTTTAATTTCTTTAAAAATTAAGTCTATAATAATGAACTTTCTCCATAGTTGTGATAGCTGTGTTACTCTATTATTTGGGGAGATAATAGAAGGAACCATTTATTTCCTTTTCTTAGGCCTTCCAGAAGGAACTGGGAAAAAGGACAGGCAGCGTCCAGGCACTGAAACGCTCTGCTCGTGAACTGATAGAAGGTAGTCGTGATGATTCCTCCTGGGTTAAGGTCCAGATGCAGGAGCTGGGCACTCGGTGGGAGACAGTGTGTGCATTGTCCGTCTCCAAGCAAACACGACTGGAACAAGCCCTCCACCAGGTGAAGAATGAACCAATGACACTTATTTCAATCGGATGCAGCCTATGCATGGGTTGGGAATGCATTCATTGGGTATCATTGCTGCATAGGAAGCGATGAGACAAGGAGGGCCTTGTCTGTGCCATGCCTGTGCCACCAGGTTCTGCATAAGTTAAGGAGTCCACGGTGAAGCAATGGATAGATAAGCACAAAGCAGCTTATGCAGAAGACATTAAAGTTGAAACAGGAGTCCTGATTGCTAATTGCAGCTATTTCACCAGGCCATGTCAGTGGAGTGGTGCTCTTGACTAGACTGAATTGCAAATAGCCTGCCCTACAGGAAACCTTTTAAAAAGTTATTGAATCATGAGGAGAAAGATAGGCCGGTGCTACTTTTTTTTTTTACTTCATTCTGTTTTTTCTTTGTAGAGAGTTACATGTGCAGAAGCCTTGCTGCTTTCATATACTAAAAAATATCGGGAAAATAATTTCAAAACAATTCCCAAACTCCTCCAGACACTCCTGAGGGAGAGTAATGTGGTGGCTATGGGCATTGTTCATTAGGTATCTGCAGTAAGTGCACACATACATACCGCACTAACTCATGTTGCGCCACTTGAAGCTGGAGGCTCAGCCTTTTTCTGACACTTCTTAAAGCACTACCAAAATCTGAAAACCCATTTTGACCAAAGACCATTGCAAGACACACACACACACACACACACACACACAACACACACACTGAACATGCAAAGGCTGTAACTGGCAGTGACAACTCTATAGTGATACTGCTTTCAGCTCTTCTCTATACAGCCTCGGTTAGCTCCCCCCACTCCACAAAGTAATTAACATTATTCACTAGCATGACTCCACCTGATAATTTGTCAGTGTGAAGGCAGGTTGCTCTGAATTCCACTTTCACATATGCTATATCAATCATATATTTAAAAGCATGCACAAACAGGCCTATGGGCTTTATTAAATCCTTTTTTAAAAGCATGTGACATTTTTACAGCCATGATATCAGAGTGCTGTATGTCAGATTCCTTAATGGAAAGTTAATGTACCTCCATTGCTGAATGATAAATGATTCCACCAATCTGGGCACAGGTTCATTGTTCATGGGAGGAATCCAACATTGTACTCTTTCAGTCCAGATCCCTTTTACAGCATTCTCTCCCCCCCCCCACTTTCTTTTCCACTTTCATTTATACAGGCGGAAGAATTCCACTCAGTTGTGCACGTTCTTCTGGAATGGCTGGCTGAGGCTGAACAGGCCCTTCGTTTCCATGGCAATCTCCCAGATGATGAAGAGTCTCTGCGTACTCTAATAGATCAGCATCGGGTGAGTGAGATAATTGAGACAGTGCTGGCTCTTGAGACTAGATTTATGAAAAGGTCGGAATAAAATAAAACTATTTATGACTTATTTGTATCTGGCAATGAAAATTAGTTTCTTTCCTAGAAATAAGGGCTCGTGGGAAACTTTTGATGGGTGATTGATAACTCAATCAGCTAAAGCACCTTAAAATCAGTATACTTACTTTAAATGTTTCCTTCCTAAACCATAATAAAATTCTGATATTCATAGCAACACAGTTATTAAACTGCAGTAGAACCTCTCATACCCCTTGAAGTCTGGCATAGACCATGTCCCAGGCCATCAATCCTCTCTATCGCAAGAAGTCAGATTCAGCAGAATTCTAGTAGCAAATTCATTCTCTTCCTATTACTCCCAGTCTTTACATACATACTTTGTAGGCCACTTTCCCAGTGGGTTGAGCCTTCTCTTCCAGGAAAAAAGAAATGCTAGCAGGAAACACTTCAGGACAAAGGCATAAGGAGGTGGATAATTGGCTAAATATTTATAGTGCTCGTCATAGAAGTCAGGTGGTAAGAATGAAGCCATTCTACCCCTCTGTTGAACAAGGCCTGCAAAATTTATGACCCACCATGCTAGCACACCACTGGCAGTTCATTTATAGTGGATAAGAGCAAGCCATGCAGAAGGTGCAGATCATTACTTGTTTACACTAGTCTAGGACAGATCTGCATGTTAAGGGAGATTGTGATTATGGTAAATGAAGTGGAGTGGGAAAATTCGCAATGCAATCACATCATGTGGTCTGTTTTGCTATGTATTTTTGAGGAGATGTGTAGTTGCTTTTGTCTCTTGTAACATGTAGTTCTTCCCATAGTTTTATCGCTTTCAGTTGGATTGTCATTCCCCACTCCCAATCCACTTTCTTTCCCCCCACCTTTTTTTCTCTTTTCTTTTCTTTTGGTCTACGCTATGAGTCAGGCCATTTGTGCAGCTACTCCTCCAGCTCCACCATTTATTTTTTTCTTCTGGCTAGTCTTTATGTATCTGTTACCATACAATGAGATCATTGAAAGGCTGCCAGACGCTATATTGGTAATGAAGAAGAGAATATCTTGTTTACTGTCATTCCCTCTGAACAGGCTCCAGATGGTTCTCTTTGGATTTTCTCTCACCAAAGAAAAGGCAAATTCTCTCTCTCTTTCTCATTCTCTCTCTCTCTCTCTCTCTCTCTCTCTTTCTTTCTTTCTTTCTTTCTCATTCTCTCTCTCTCTCTCTTTCCTCACACGCACAGTTCTCTAGGCAAAGCAAGCAAAACGTAAACACAGGATAACAACGTACAATAACGGCAGCTAAAATGTAAACCACACTTTAAAAATTTACAAGCTGTAGAAGTTGTGAGTGAAGATGCATTTTAACACAATGTGAAGTTTGGAGTATCTTCAAACATACTTTTATCTAAACCTAAATATATCGCATACTTTAGTTCTGCTGCTTTCCTCTTTGTTTTTGTGAAGGAAATGTCTAATAGGAATCTTTTCGTGTAGCAACATTTTAAAATTCTTACCCTACTCTGGTGGGGTTACTTGACTGCCACTCTATCAAGGAAGGCATTTCAGCCCTTTATTTTGTATTGAAAAGCTCAGTTTCACAACCAATTACCCTTTTTAAAAAAATTGCACTTGGTTTAATAGAGGTTAGGTCTCCTAGATAATTCAGATTTTACCTCTCCTTGTGGGCTTTGGGGCCGATAGGCACAGTGGGTCAATGCATTAAACTAGGTATGAAGGGAAAGACATTTATGCTCTTGCTCTCTCTACCCTAGTCCACCTCCTACACCACTCAAAAGTCTCATAAATCTTTTCTCTTGTAAAAATGTTATATATCCTTAATTCACTTTCTGATTTTCCATATCAGCATAGGATGACTTAGGGCCTATAACTTACAATGTGCACAGTAAAAAAACCATAAAATATAGAAGATAGTCTAAAACTACAGCAGAGAACACAGCAGCCAAAATATCCGGGAGGGCTCAAAACCTGATTAAAAGGGGGAAATAATAACTTTGCTTATCGCAGTGGAGGAATTTTGGGGGTGGGAACCATCACAGTAAAGGCTGTATTGTGTTTTGTCACTTTACAAATAGAAGGGCATTTGTGGGAGATCTGAATTCCCAGGTATCTTTGAGACGAGCATTCCAAACAAAATTCTCAAGAAGAGGACTGTTCTTTTGTTATCTGAACCCCAGTGAAAGTGGGCCTCAGACGCTTGCATCCCCTATTCCTTATCCACAGGAAGCAGGAAACAAGTGCCGCAGGGAAGTTGGCATTAGTTCGTAACCCAGATAGATAGGTCCTGATTTCTTCCTGGTTCAGGGCGCCATCGTCCCACATGTGGGGCTTTGTGGAGCAGCAAGGCCACTGCCATATCCGTAAGTCCTGCTACTCAGGGTGACAATAATGGAAGATGCGTGGAGGGTAAAGGATGTTCGGGTCCAGCCCAGACCGGATGCTGTCACACAATAGCAGTGAAACTGGCTTGGGATCCAGTGAATCTCAAGTCAGCACAGCCCTGCCCACTCCCTCCATCAGGACCCCCCCCCCCGTCCCTGGATGATTCAGCAGGCAGCAGGAGGCTGTCTCAGCCAGGAGAGTTGAGTGAAGGGACACTTTTGCCTGATCCAACACACAGTCTGGCCTAAAGGAGGTTTAGATAGCTCAGTAGGTCAGTTACTTCTGCAGTCGACATGTTAGCATCCTGTAGTCCAAGAATTCAGTGAATGGTCCCTAAAAGTCTGCATAAATATATGCTGGCCCAGTTATACAACTGAGCAGAGGTGCTCTGAGTAGAGTGTGTGGTTTGATTAAATAATCAATCCACTGGGTTTCCTGAAACATGTCCAAAAGTAATTAACTTGCTATGACATCTAAGTAGTGCTGTCTCACAAAGTTGTGTGTGTGTGTGCGCGCGCGCATAAATATTGCAGTATTGAATTGCAGACTCCAGCATGCATTTTGTCTCTTCAATTAGCCCTTAGTCTACAGTGGATCTTAAAATATTCTTAATAAGTGAATCGTTTTCCTCATGCTTTGCTTCTCTCCTTCCTTCCCTGCCACTGGATCAATTCAGATGCCAAGTGATTCAGTGTAGGCATCTGCTCTTTTTGGCTAAACCAGCAAAGTCTGAAATCACTTGGATTTTACCTTTGAACCACTGCCAGCACCTAATTGAAATCACTGTTTTTGCCTTAGGAATTCATGAGAAAACTGGAAGAAAAAAAGGCTGAGCTAACGAAAGCCACAGGTATGGGAGAAGCCATCCTGGCTATCTGCCACCCAGACTCCATCACTACCATTAAGCACTGGATAACAATCATCAGAGCAAGGTTTGAAGAGGTCAGTCCATCTCTAGCAAGTTCTCTCTGGTAATAATAATCAGTCTTTGATAGCTTGGAACACAACTGACAATTAGCAAGGCACTTATATTGTGAGGAAACAATCCAGCTGTTGAGAGCAAAATGTTTAACATACTCATGCTGTCATGTGTAATAGGCTGGTTTTGGCTCTTCCTTTGCAAATGTCTCTTGAGGAAGAAGTAAAACACTCCCCAGATCAGTTCATGTTCAGAGATAATCACAATGAATTAGAAGTTAAGCCTTGAAAAAGGGATAGGGAACCTGTGGTTCTACAGACATTGTTGGACTCCAACTCCCATCAGCACCAACCACTATGGCCATTTGTCAAGGATTAAGGAGTATTGTGTGATAATTCTCAAAATGTTACAACACTAAATACCCAATCATTAAACACAGCAGTGCTTTCCAACACTTCTGTGCTTCTAGAAACCTTTGGATCACAGTAAAAAGGCAGTGACTTTTCTTTTTGTGCTTCTCTTCATGGGGTGCAAAGAGTTCCAGCTTCTACTCACAGAGCTCACCAATGTGGTTGCTCAGCAGTCCTTTGATAATTCTGCCAAATTTGTTCATGTGAAAGTAATGGGGCACCCAAAGCCCTGGGTTGTGTGAATGTGAATATCATGCATACTTTTCTTTTCAAGGTGTTAGCATGGGCAAAGCAACATCAGCAGAGATTGGCAGGGGCCCTGGCTGCACTTATCGCTAATCAAGAGCTGTTGGAAGCATTATTGACCTGGTTGCAGTGGGCAGAGACAACACTTAGTGAAAAAGATAAGGAAGTCATTCCTCAGGAGATTGATGATGTTAAGGCACTCATAGCTGAGCATCAGGTAAGAGGGCCATTGCTATGATTATGATCAAACTAGTCAGCTTCAATGTACTTATGTGCATATGCATATTTTGGAAGTTCAGGTGAAACAGAAGTTTTTAAATAAGCAATTAAAAAAACATGCTTTGGCCACATGATCAAACAAGGGTTCTGGTTCACGTAGCCTTCTGTTTTTATTTATGTTGTTTCATTGTATTGTACGGCATTGTCCTAGTAAAAGGTGAAGAAAGGCAATATTAGGGGAAATTGCTCTGTTCTTGTACACAGTAAACCAGTGCACCAATTCACCATGCAATTGATTTCTCCTTTAGAATAAAGAGACAGGACAGCAAAGAAAATAAATTGAAAACAATAAATAAGCTGGACTGTAAGATAACACTGTATTGCTTGTGTTCAACTTTACATTCTACAATATGCCTTAGAATTGTTCTGGGACCACATAGTTCCTTCATAAAGTCAAAGTTGAGTATTTTCCTTGTCGGTAAGCCAGTTAGGAGAACTTTGTCGTTACTATTTGGGACATGAGATCAATATCCTTATTGTGGAAGAAACATGCACTTTGGAACACTTGGATGTTGGTGGAAGTGCTTTCTTTTAATCTGAGCATGTAGCTCAAGAAGCCACAGCCCATATTGTTGTTCTCATCCATGTGCTCATGGCAGACAAGGTAGTTGTGTAGGCGTTCAGGTGTTAGCAAGGAGATGCTGTATCCAATGTAGATGCTAATCTAGATATGAGAGAAATCAGCATGTGAAGTAGGAGTTCTGTGCATACATGGGAGATCCCACAGACATCTGGATCAGAACCTTTGTACCCCCAAACAGGGTATGTTGCAAATTATTGTTGTGCATTGTTAGCCAAAGCAACCACCCTTTAATTGCAGATATTCATGGAGGAAATGACTAGAAAACAGCCTGATGTGGATAAGGTTACTAAGACGCATAAAAGGAAAGCAGCTGAATCTGGTCCAATTCATTCTCATATTCCTGTACTGGATAAAGGAAGAGGAGGAAGTAAGTAATGATCTCACACACACATATATATATATATATGGTATCACATCTATCATTACCTTTAGTCATTAACTGATTATTTAAAAGCTGTCAGAATTTAACTTACTATTTCTGATTTATGAAGTGGACAGGATTGTTTACAGGGTCAGGAACCTGTGGCCCTAAAGCCAAACCTACCTTTCTGTTAGATGCCGCCTGGAATCACAGGCATGTTAGGCCTCTCCCTTCTTCCTATAGAAACAGGCATGTATGCTGTGTTACCTTTTGTTTACACTGCCTTGAGAAGCAGAAGTACAGTACATTTTTCTGTATTTTAACAGGAAAGCGTTCCCCAACACCAAGCATGTACCCCTCAGGTGCACAGGCTCAGATTGAAACCAAGAATCCACGGGTGAACCTCTTGGTCAGCAAATGGCAGCAAGTCTGGCTTCTGGCTCTGGAAAGAAGAAGGAAACTTAATGATGCTTTAGACCGATTAGAGGAGGTCAGTAAACAGCAGATGTGTTTGCTATAACTAAGCCTTAGTTCATGTCTTATTGGCCACTCCTCTTTGTGTGGTGGAGGACCAGGCAGATACCCTTCCTTTGACAGGCAGAAGTAGCTTATGTGCTGGTCAGTGCGTACCAACACCCAATTATGTGAAGGCCCTGCTCGTGCATCATTATTATCATTCACTTTTATTACAAAGGTAATTCAAAGTGATTTACATTAATTATATTTAAAGCAATTTACATTAATTATGTTAATTTCTCCCTTGCTTTTTCGTGATGGGGATATATCACATAAGCAGACATCAGCATGGAGTGCCATTGGTGTTGTGTAGACATAATATTGGGATGTATGCTCCTTCCGCTTTCCCTGTACTCCCTTCAGAACAAATTCACCACTTTCCTTGTCAGAGTTTGCCATGGTTTAGAGTTACTTGAATGGTGATCATAGTGATGATTAAGGATTTGTAAGCCCCCTTCATACTTTAGTTTCAAAAAAAGGGAACGGGGTTTTGGGGAGGGCAAGGGAAAGGCTCCTAAGGTTGACTTCCAGTTTGCACATTCACATCTGCTCTGAACTTTAGCATCACGGTTATATGTATTTCTCACAAGACAGTTCACCTCTTTTTTTCCATTTTTCCTTTTGTCTCAAGCTGAAAGAATTTGCCAACTTTGATTTTGATATTTGGCGGAAGAAGTATATGCGATGGATGAACCATAAGAAATCTCGAGTCATGGACTTCTTTAGGAGGATCGATAAAGATCAGGATGGAAAGATAACCAGACAGGAATTTATTGATGGGATTCTTTCCTCAAGTAAGTTTTGAAGCAGAGTTCGATCATTTGCATATTAAATTTAATTCCTCAGAGTTTTGGAATGCCAGTAAGTCATCAGTTTCCCGAAAGGTTATTGGTAAGAGTTGTTCATTTTAACTTGAACTGTTCTTTTCATCTGCAGAATTCCCTACTAGTCGATTGGAAATGAGTGCAGTAGCAGATATCTTTGACAGAGATGGTGATGGCTATATTGACTACTACGAGTTTGTAGCAGCACTTCATCCGAACAAAGATGCATACAAGCCTCTGACAGATGCCGACAAAATTGAAGATGAGGTGCTCTTTTCCCTCCCCCCCCTCCCCGCCCCTCAGCCTCTTTCTTAAACTATCTTTCTCTGGAATTGCATGTTGAACTTATACAGTGGTACCTCGGTTTACGAACAGCCCTGTTTATGAACTATTCAGTTTACGACCTCTGCAAAACCAGAAGTAGTGTTCCGGTTTGTGAACTTTACCTCAGTCTACAAACGTAAGTTGAACGGTGGAAGGGCACTGGCAGCGGGAGGCCTCATTAGGGAAAGCGCACCTCAGTTTAAGAACGGTTTTGGTTTAAGAACAGACTTCAGCAACGGATTAAGTTCGTAAACCGAGGTACCACTGTAGTCCCATTGTTTTCTTGACCTGATTCCACAATTTACCATAAATGGCAATTAATATAATTTGCTTCTGATTGTCGTTTTGACAGGTGACAAGGCAGGTAGCAAAATGTAAATGCGCAAAGCGATTCCAAGTGGAGCAGATTGGTGATAACAAGTACAGAGTAAGTATAGAAAACAGTCATGTTATCTGTTGGATTTAGACTCCCCTATTCTGCAAAGGAGTAATTTAACTAAATTAATAATACAGTGTGAATTTGATGTATTTTCTCTTTTTTAAAAACATCATCATCATCATCATCATCATCATCATTTTGGACCCTGTTGCATTTTTCACCAGCCACAGTGCATGAAGTGAGATGCTGCTGTTGCGCCACCCTCTTGGCTGCAGGTGCTGTCGCTCTCTGGGGTGAGGTGGCAGCAGAGTAGTCGTGGTAGGTGCAGATGATTGTGCCCCTGTGGCCACCACTGCTGTCAACTCAGTGGTCTCCTGCCCTCATCTCTTCTCTGGCCCCCCATCGCATCCCAGCAAGCGTCATCACCACTGCAGCCAACAGGGTACCGCAGTGGCAGGACCCCACCTCATGCACCACAGCTGTTCTTTAATCACCCCATCTGATCTTTTAGCTTGTGATTGAAGAAGAAGAAAAGCTACTATTATACCACCGAAGTCACAATAAATCTTTTCTTGCATTGGAATTGTAAATAACTTTCCAAAGGAGCCTGGGTTTTGATGAAACTTCCAAGTAATAGAGCTTAATGCCTGTTGCAAATATTCCATGCGTGCACCGAGTTATACCTACAGGTTTCAAGGTTTTATAGTGGAACATTCATTAACTTCTGAATTAGAATTATTATTATTTTTCCAACAGAGCAAACAGTTGGGAGTGTATTAGCCTTCCAAACATATTTGAATAAAGTTGTACTCTGTCATCACCATCCTGTCTTTTCTTTTTGTTTGATTTTGATTTCATTGAAGCATGCTTTCCTTTTTCTAGATAGAAAATGTGCCAGAAAAACCAACAAGTAGATATCAAGGGGGGATCTACCAAATTGTCGTCCCCTTCTTTCATTTCAATTCAGCAATATCATTTTCCATTGAGAATTTGGCGGAAGGAAATCAGATTATACAGCAAGCAATAGATAGGTGTCATAGGAGTCAGGTCTGACAGCATTAACAGCCCAGACAGCTGATGTTATCGGCACATCTCTAAGCTACATACTAAATTGGAAGATGTAGAATGTGTATGTGCTGTTAGAGTGTGTTCTAGAGGATTTCCTGTTACACTAATTATGTCTTTTCTCCCATTTTCCATCTCTTGTCAGTTCTTCCTGGGAAATCAGGTATAAACAGTGGAATGTGTTATGGAGTTCCTAGTATTCTTTTAATATATCATCATTTCAGCTTGCAGTGGTTTGTCCTCCCCTACCCTTTCACCCTAAGCTAATTCATTGTTGGTCAGCTACAATGCCTCTCTGGAAATGCCTAACTGGTTTCCTTGTTTTGGGAATTGCCTTTTTTGCCTGCTGCTGCCTCATTAATGAGATTACTTTTAAGGGAACCAGATAATAGACTGCATTAATTGGTAGTGCAAATGCCTTTGGGCATTCTTCCTGTGGTTTACACACTGGAATTGCTGTTAAGATTTTGCTGTGATTCGTATATGGAGTATCCTTTAAATTTCCATGCTGCATTCCACTGTAAGATGATCCAGGACCTTGCACTTTTTAAAGCTTTTGCCAAAAACAAAAAAGGACATTCAATTAGAAATTGAATAGGGAAATTGCATTTCCATAAAAACCATCACTGCAAATTGGGCACCATTGCAGACTGCATCCCAGGTAAAGACTGCCTATTTCTGTTTTGTTTCATGTGCAGTCCTTCATTCTTCTTGCTTCTTAGAAGTTAGTACAGTGGAACCTCGGTTGTTGAATGCCTCCGTTGTCATACGTTTCAGCTTCCGAATGCCGAAAACCTGGAAGTAACTGCTCAGGTTTTCGAACAATTTTCGGAAGCTGAACATGCTATGTAGCTTCTGTTTTGAGTTTCCCTATTGTATTGAGGGTTCAGTTTTCGGTTTTCGAACGTTTTGGACGTCGAACGGTCTTCCGGAACAGATTATGTTCGAAAACCGAGGTTCCGCTGTATCATCCTTTCTTAGAATCTATTCCCTGGGAAACCTAATAGTAAAGGAAGATTATATAGGTTTTTAGAATGAGATTACTGAACATTATGCAGTGTAAACAAATCCCATTTGTGATTTAAAGTTTCACCTACTCTCACATGAGTACAATAAGCTATATTTTCCTTCTCATGCCATCCATGCTAATACATTATATAATCTTAACTTTTGCCTTTGTTTAGCCCACTTTGCTCCCAATTCCAAAGCCACTCCCTTTTTCATGATACGATGTTCTTGATTTCCTAGAAGATGTAGTGAAGGGGGTTTGTTCTCCTGCTTTCTTCGGGAGGGTGGGTGTGGCTTTGCCTCAGCACCATTAAATGCATGAGACAGGAAGCACTGGAGCTGCAAGTGGCAATGTTCAAGCATTGTGCCATCTGGAAAATGGGGAGAGAAATGTTCCACTCCCAAATGGGAGTTGGGGGACTGGGGCAGGTTGCTTACTCCTGACCACAGCAGAGTGACACCTGAGATTAGGGATCATTTGGCTCAACAGTAGTAGAAGTTCTAAATGGGCTCGGGGAAAGAAGAACTGGGGGGAGGGGAATGGTAAGCGCCCCAAAATATCATAATGGTGACACATGGGGTTTCCCAAAACAATCTCCCAGGCTTTATTGGCTCAAAGGGAAATCTCCCCAGACTTATTCAGGAGCTGCCATATACAGTGGAGCACATTCCCCGCCCCCAAAAGGACCATCAGAAAATACAGTTGATGCAGCATAAAATCTTGTGAGTAAAAAAAGAAAGAAAATCTTCAGCCACTAATTACTTTGGGTATTCTCGATTTATTAACTTCATATGCTTTCCTCTTGTTTGGTTCCCAAAAGTAACATGCCTTTCTCCCTATGCTTAAGCTGTGTCTCAGTAAGGTACATGAAAAATTAAACCCAGTTACATGACTTGGCTGTAAAACAAGTAGTGCTTACCATAGCTTCTTTCCAAGGATGAAATCCGGCATTTTATTCTAGTGTGATCTTTGGGAAGAACTCCCCATAGGTACCCACATGAAGAATCTGGTCTTACATATCACAGTAATCCGAGCTAACAAGTGCTGAATCCCTCTGACTATTTTTTTCTCCCAGGGAACAGGGTGGTTCTGAGATCCTACCTGTAATGGAGGATCAGTTGGAGGTGGACAAGAGATTTGGATGAGTTGGATTGATAATATGGAAGAGTGAGGTCTTTTGCATTGGTTGGGATTTAAAGGTTGTAACCCTGCAGTCTGCTAGTGCACTTTTCAGATTGCACAGTACAGTTAGAAGTGAGGCAGCCATGGCTTGTCCTGCTGTTTCTCCCCTGGTCCTGTGGTCCTTCCGTTCCTCCACTTGCTGTAATGGTCAGGCCTGCAGGTGTGCTGTGCAGCAGTTTGGGGGTGAATCACAATGGCAGGAAAAGAAAAGAGCAGAACACGTTCCTATTACAGTGGGGAATGTAAATGAGGAGAGAAGCAGGTTTGGGATATTTCCTCCTTCCCCTCTGCAGCCAACCCTCCTTTAAATCTGCTACACAGGGTTGGACCCTCCAGGGCAGATTTAGTGGGGGGGGGGGTCTGCAGCGGGGAAGGGGGAAATATCCCAAACCTGCTTCTCTCCTCATTCTGCTGATGGAAACCTTACTGCCAGCTGAGTCAGGTCTCTCAGTTACAGTCTGACAACATTAGCTATGATTCATAGTGTTTTGCAATGGTAGTGTAAGGCTTCCACTGGCATTATTGGAGACACTTTATGTATTAGTGATTTGACACTAATGTCATGGAAAGGAGATTTGAAATGTGCATATAAAGAGTGAAGGAGAAACTCAGGTGGGCATCCTTATACTACATTTCAGTTCCCCATCGGCCTGGCTCAGATCATTCTATATCAGCATCTTGAACCAAAGTATGCATGAGCCTTGTTGCCCACACACTCTGTCCTTGCATTGCTCTTCCCTCCTCTCTTCTCTGCATGCTGCAATCAGCCTTCAATTAAACATACTGTACTTTCCTACTACATCCGAACTGGGAAGCTATGGCTGCAATGTTCAGAACAAGCTAGGATCTTAAACCAGCTTCAGACCATGGTTTAAGATCCTGGGTTGTTCTGAACATTGTTAACCATAGTTTCCCATTTTGGACATAACAGGAAATTATGGTTAATTGAAGACTTATTGGCTTATTGCAGTAAGTTAAAGAGGGAAGAGTCTCTGTGCATTGCCAGAAGGCTCATTCATATCTCAGATTAAGGCTAAACATGTTGCCCCAAATGCAAACATGTGTTTACATTCATGGATTGGGAGAAGTAGGCTTTAAGTCACTTGAATGAGCCTGAAAATTATGCTATAATGGTGCAGAGATTTTCACCATGTGTACTAATATACGAAGCAACAGAGTGTACAATGAGTCCTTTAGATCACCAACGAATTTTGCTAAGGCTCCAGGATATTTGGGAGGGGAATCAGTTGTTTTTCTTTATTTCACATTTCAGTAAGTGATTGTTTACTTGTACATATTAAAGGGCCCTCAGACTTGGTGTGTGGTGTGTGCACTGTAACATTTGGAAAGAATGTTGTTTGAGCACCCCTTTTCAGATGCTTTCTGCATAACTGGCACATTAATGCTTTAAAACCAAAACCAGTTATAAAACCAATATGGAGAGAGGAAATATGTGTTAAAAGGAAGTATGTCTGGAATGCATGTTACATTCAAAGAGCGGAGCTATGCTTTCAAACTACTTGCATAAGAACATGTGGACAGGCTATAAGAGACCTAAGGGATTTTGCAGCATTTCCAAATCACTAAATTGAAGGACCAGCATTTATGTACTTCCTAAAACTTTGCTTTTGACAAAGTACAGCAGAAGTACAATTTTGCACACTTGTTCTCCTTAGACCAGTGGTGGCGAACCTATGGCACGCGTGCCAGAGTGGGCACACAGAACCCTCTCTGATGGCACATGCGCAAGATGGCATGCAGGGCCGTTACTGGGGGTTGGCAAAGGGACAGCCACTCCCCCCATGCCAATGCGGGTGGGAAACGCTCCCTAAGGTGCACGCCGCCCTCAGCAGCATCAGGGGAGTTGCACGACAACAACCAGCTGGTTGGCAGACATGCAGCCCCCCCCCCGCCAGTGTGGGCAGAAAATGCTCCCTAGAGTGCACGCTGCCCACAGTAGCGTGGGGGAGAGTTGTGTGCTGGCCAACCAGCTCCCCCCTCCCCAACGCTGCAATTTAAGACAGACAGGGTGCTGGGTAAGGAAGCATGGAGACAGTGGGTTGTGATGGTGTGGGTTTGGATCCGAAGCAGGTTTGGATTTTTAGTTTTTATTTTGGCGGGGAGCGACAGCTCAGCTAGGCATCGATTAACAGAAGGGTCTGTCTCTTACCCTTGAGGACAAACAGCAGGCTCGGGCAGTGCTGCTGTTTTCAAGATCCAAGATGCAGAGCGGTTTGGGGGTAGAGAAGGAGCCGGCCCTCCCATGCCAGGGAGGAGAGCGCTACGCTGGCCCACCCTTGTGCAAAGCAAAACACACGGAAGAGGGGGCAGCTTTGCAACATGCCACATCGGGATGCTTCTGCCTGGCTTTTGCATAAGCCTGATTTCCCTGCCTTTCCCTCCTCCTTTTTTTGAACTCAGAAGGAGGTTGCTCTTTCTCCTGTTCTGGAGAGCACAGACCGGGTGGGGAAGAGGGAGAGCCAGTGAGAGGGTGGGCAAGGTGCAGAAGGAGTGAATGTCATGAAGAGGGGCTGGGAGAAGTGAAGGGGTGGAGGCGAGCTGCTCCTTGAAGACACCTCACAACAGGAGACCTTGCAGCCCGCAAGCTGCAAAGCCAATGAGCCTCATTTCTCCTTCCTGCCCACCCAATCCCCAACCCAACATAGCGACTCCAGCTTCCCTGGTGAATGGGCCAGTCGCTTGCCAGCTGCGGGTTTCCCTGAGTCCCACGCTGAGTCCTCTGTCTGTCTCTCTGTTTCCTCTCTGCTTCTCTCTTGTTCTCCAATGCTCAGGAGAGAAGCGCCAAAGGGGCCACAGAGAGAGAGAGAAACAGACAGACAGACAGAGAAACAGACACACCCACATGCAGGGAAAGTATCCTGAGAGCGCTCTGCCTAACGGCCTGCTTTGCAACACATACAAGTGCTGCGGCTGCTGGGTTGCCAGTAACAAAAAAGAGCAAATAATAATAATAATACCCCACCCATCTGGCTGGGTTTATTTATTTATTTATTTATATTTATTTGTATGTGTGCATGCAGACAATCATTATTATCCCATATTAAATTGCCATGTTGGCACTTTGCGATAAATAAGTGGGTTTTGGGTTGCAGTTTGGGCACTCCGTCTCTAAAAGGTTCTCTACCACTGCCTTAGACCCTTGGAGGATGCCAGCTCCTGCCCCCACCATGCGAGGGGTTTTTTGTTTGGTCCCCCCCCCCCAACTCTAAACTGATACTTGTGCTAGTGAAGCTGTGTATTTGCAACTGAAAATTACCACCTCATTAAAGTTGGGGAGACTATCCTTCTGGAAGGAGATGTGAGCTAGCATTGGGGAGAGGGAGTCTGCAGCCTTCAAGTTGTTGTTTTTTTAGGGTGGTTTTTTTTTTTACAAATATAAAGTATTCACAGAATTGCAGCATTATTACTTTGAGTTCAAAGGATAGTCTTGCTGGTGCTGGCCAGTTATTGGTTTACTTTAAAATGCTGCATGTTGGGGTAGTATAATGGAGTCCAGCCAGCATCTAACGAAGTAAGAAAAATGAAACTTAAAAGAATAAAATAGACAGTAAAAACATTTACTAGAAAAGTGGAGACATGCCACTAATGGTTCAATAGCTACCTAATTTATGACACTCAAACCCTTGGCCATCCAATGAGGCTGAATGTTGGAAGATTCAGGGCTGATAAAAGAAAGTTACTTCTTCATGCAGCTCATAAACTGTGGAACTTACTCCCACAGGAGGCAGCGATAGTTTACCAACCTAGATGGATTTAAAAGAGGATTGGACAAATTCATGGAGGAGAGGGCTATTTAAGGCTGCTAGCCATGATGGCTATGTAAGAACAGGACGGCCTAGATGGGCCATTGCCCTAATCCAGCTTATTCTTACTTCTCACACTGGCTATAGAAATACACATAATGTGTGGGAGAATGGTCACAAAATGCTAAAAAAAATAGCACCCTTGGAAGAAGGGCATCCCTGAAGAAAGATAACTGGAACCCTCACAAAAATTCTATTTGTTACATGATACAACACTTGCCTAGAAATGCCCTTAGTGGCTATTCTAAGGGGCAGCTTTCCAGAAGACAAGAGGGTGAAAAAGAAATTATGAAATAACAATAAAAGTTTGTTTTTCTGACTTATTCAGCGGTCATCACTGTAATATGTGCACTGTGTCCTCATAATGAGTTCTAATCCATATTTCGGTGGGAATATTCTTATCATTTTTTCAAGGAGAGATCAGTGAAGGTTTTAGTATTGACAGTACAATTCCAGTAGCTTCATGTATTACATGACTAATTTTTCTCCTTTGAAAAGATCTGAGAAACATCCATGTGGCTCTCAAGAATCAAGGGGGGGGGCAATCAAACCTAGCAGCATTATACCCTTGTGCTCTGCCTCCCTCCCCCACCAATCTCATTGCTACCTTTTGGGTTAATGCAGTTGCATTCAACTTGAAAACAACCTTTACCATACGCATAATGCAAAACTCTTTGGTGACTTTTCTACTAATGATTTAGGAGCTTATTGTGCGTGGCTAATTTTAACCCTCTTGGCTTGGAGCGCACCGTGCTGTTTAGAACTTGTAGGAAACCTTGAGCTTGATTTCCTGTCTTCCTGCACAGTTTGGTGACTCCCAGCAACTCCGTCTTGTCCGCATTCTGCGGAGCACTGTTATGGTTCGAGTTGGAGGCGGATGGATGGCACTTGATGAGTTCTTAGTGAAAAATGATCCTTGCAGAGGTATGTAGGAAGACTTCTTTACATATGACTATTAAACCCATTAATAGTGTATATACAACTGCTGTCATGGATTAACTAGGGTAGTAGAGGTTAGAAGGATGAAATGTAAACTGTATAAATCCCTGGTTTGGTTAAACACTGATTCACTTATGATGCCCTACTTATATACATCTTGCTATTTTTAAGGACTACCTACTGAAGATACTGTAGACCAGAGCTTTCCAAACTCTGTGTCGCGACACGTTAATGTGTTGGCTGCAGTGCTTATCTGTGTCACACAAACGCTCCCCATGCCCCTCCCAGAGCTGGAAAGGGGTTAGTTTAATCTCTGGTTTGCTAGTAAAACTGAATTACTGTGTCATGAAATGATGCAAAACTGAATTACTGTCCCGAAATGATGCATGTTTAAAAAGTGTGTCACCAACATGAAAAGTTTGGAAAGCTCTGCTGTGTACTCTGGCTATGCATTGCATTCACCATGTGAGAGCTTGACATGCAAGGAATTTCTTTGGCTCTCACACACCAACAGAATGAGAAGCTGTCAGGAACACAGAAACCACACATACAGGAAAGGAGGAAGTGCTGGCTTCCCTTCCCTGTCCATTGGTTATCTCCCCTTTTCTCTCTTGTTAGCTAATTTTTCCTCAGAGTTGGGAGGGGGGAAGAGCAGAAACTGTGGTGGGACCACTCTTACGGTGAGTGTAACATGTAGCCTGGCTCATGGTGAACAGCTGATGGCTCACTGGTTTGTGGCCTAGATCTTCCAAGGATTCTAATCTATTGCGCCCAGATTTGTAAGCAGATTTCACTGTGGCATCTTAACAGCCTTATAAGCCTAAAAACCTGATTCATAGAAGAAGGTAGCCTGGGTTTAGTTGAAATCATTTCTGGGTCCTAGGTCTGCCTGCTGTGTGTGTTGATAGAATGCAGTAGGCATGGGATTGGTTGGGTTTTAGGCTTACCAAGAGGTGAAGTGAAGCAATCACTTTGGGGGGCAAAATTCCAGAAGTTCAGTGGAAATGGTAAGTAAAATAGTGACTACTTGCTAATCCCAGAGGGAATAATATAAAGGGCATCACCCAGTTTTATGTTGTGAATGTACAAAGGAATGTTAAGATGGGGTGGTGAACGCAGTGTTCTGTTTCTCAAAAATGAAAAGTAGCTACAGAAAACATTATTGGGCATATATTAGATTATTTTTCTCTGTAGTTAAAACTGTGAATTCTATACGTAATGCTGCAAGTTCAGACTGAAAAGTAAACATTGTGGTGGTATACATGCTTCTTAGGGATATATATTTCTTTTTCCTTAATCAGGCTAATGTTTACTTATCCAGCCACCATTTTATCAGATACAATTGAAACTACAACTTAAAATTCCTGCTGTTTAGTAAACGATCATATGACTGGATGTTACCTGTAGTGTTGAGAAAAAGAGCGAACTGTGCCTCTGGTGGAAAACTTGCTTCAATTCTGTTTTAATTACGTTATGCTGAGTCACATTTTACATTCCTGCTGTACAGGAATAAATGAGATAGTTACACAGCCTGCATTGATAATCCACCTGATTCCATCATCCCATCTCATACTCTACTCTGAAGAATCTTAACAGGACGAAAGTGGAATGTAGCATTCTGACTGAATATAATTGACTCCTATAATAACACATTAGATGTGCTATTTTATTCCTACATTGTGAGATGCCTACTATCCACCCATGTTCCGCCTAAGTCAGGTGAACAGTACTTAATTTGACATATTTATTGTTGCTGCTTTTAAAAAACAACAACAGCTGGTATCTCCAGCTGATTATCACCAAGCTTCCCATTACAGGAATTGGGTTCTTCAACACCAGTGTATACAAGTATGGAAGATCTCTGAATTTCCAAAAACTATTATATTTAATGTGATGGCTGCTACTGTAGTTTATGCCTTTCCCTTCCTCCAGCACAACTACAAGGAAGCATTAACTTCTGTTTTAAATTAACCACAGCTTTTTATCATCTGGATCTGGACAAAATGTGGTTAATCTTAACCACTTATTTAAACAAGCCAACTTCAGACCATAGTTTAAGAAGATGACTTGTTTCAATAAACCATAGTTAAAGTTAATTTGGACATCTAGGTTTGGACATCATGCAAAACTGTAGTTACTTAAAGTGGAAGCAGAAGCTTCTTATCCTTTCTCACGGCCACACCAAAGGAGGACAAGGGAGGGGAGAAGTCCAAAGCTCACTACAGCTCTTCACTAACATAAACCATGGTTTAGCGTTATGTGTAAATTGAGTCAATATGGAGAGATTATTTTTTTTCTGAAACAGATTTTCAGCAAGGAAAGTTCATTTGTGATTTTCAGTATTACTGAATATGAATCTGAATTTTTTTGTTTGTTTTCCATTTGTGGGGTGCTTTACCCACAAAATCCCTTTCAAATGGCAACATAATTTCAGAGATAAACCTGTCTCAAAAGGATGGAACGTAAGATTGCATTCTTCATCAAATCTGCCATGGAAACACTAGTTCTTATGTGGAAACTGTAAATCATATGCAAACCTGTTGGGTGTCTTAATGGTGACTAGGTTTCATTCTATTAAAGCACTGTGTGGTATGTTGTGTCCTCATTTCATGCAACCTTAAGAAGTATGAAGATAGAACATCCCTTTTTGAAGATGGCAAAGAAACCACTTGCTTTCTTTTTTTACCTACAAGATGACATTGGGACTGTCTGCAGCTGAGCTTACACCAAGAGTGGTTTCTTTTGCTGAAGAAAACTACATGACCTTGCTTAGGAACACTTAGCGAGAACTTTTAATCACTTAAGATCTGTCCTTGGCCTGCAGCTTTGAATCTTCTTGCATATGCAACTGCTGTAATTGATTTCTTCTCCTGCTAACAATTTTCTTTTAATATGACCCATATCCTGTGTCATTTTTTCTAGTTCATCATCATGGGAGTAAAATGTTACGTTCGGAATCAAACTCTTCAATTACCACTCAGCCTACTATAGGTTGGCAAACCCCTCTCTTTGTCTCTCCTGTTCTTAATGTTCTTTTCCATTTCCTACCCACTCTGCTTTGATATATACAAATATATATTTGCTTTCGTAGATTTTCACGGGTACAGGAATGCAGGTTTTGGTGTCCTCGGGTGTCTTCCCGTGTAAAAGCCAGAGCACAACTAAGTGCAGTACAGCCATCTTCTCAGAAAAACTCTTCACAAAGTTCAAGAGGTCAAGACACGAAGGCTTTAGCAACTAATCCACACCTAATGACCCACCTAAGTGGTACTCAGGATATCACTCAAGAAATCACTCAAGATATCCCTCAAGTAATTAAGGAACAAAAGAAGAAAAGGCACACTAACCTGGGAACTTCCTCTCTGCCCAGAACATTGGAGGCTATACACCACACCCCCTCAACAGTATTTATAGGAACTCAAACACTGAGATCCTGCTCTGTTCCAGTAACAAGAAGCCGAAAGCACCAGCCTGAAGATGACGAGTGAGACCTCGTCGAAACGTCGCCTAGACACCCCAACTTTTACACGGGAAGACACCCGAGGACACCAAAACCTGCAAATATATATTTAACACAACGCTTCACGTTTCACATTTTTTAGCCTTAACACTTATTGCACTGGCTGGTGCTTGAGAGCTTGCTTCTAAATTTCCTTTGACACACTCGAAAAGAGTGTTTCAAAAGCAATTGCCATTAAGACAGAGAAAACCAAATGCTAACCTGTTTACGCATCTGAACCTTGTGGGAAGTTTTCACCTTTGCCTCTATACCTGCGTTTGTCTGTGCCCAGCATCCCATCACTTCTTTACAGTTTGGGAGTTTCTGTTTGTCATTGCATGTTGCCCAACTGCATTACTATATAGCTTAGAACTAATATGGTTTTATGCTTTTCTCTCCATGTTTACTCATCATAGCCAGCATCTGTTTCTGAATCATCCAAACAGTGGTAGCATTAGTCAAATGGGTCTTCAGGTTGAGTCTGTGCATTGGTAACCAAATAGCATGTTGAGCCATTCCATTATCATGCTGATTAATGTTGACAGCAGTTCATCTCTGCTAGCATAAAATGTTAGATGCGCAGTTCATCTTTTGCTAGCATAAAATGTTAGATGCGCATATTCTGCAAATGAACTTTTTTGTCTCAAACAAATGCATTACTCACTAATGTGTTTGAATTGTTTGGCCTGTTTGTTTAGCTCTAGCAAAGCCAGCGATATGGACAGGCAGCTGGGAAATAATCAGACTTTTCGATTTCTCTCTTTCGCATCCTCTAGCTAAAGGGAGGACGAACATGGAGCTACGTGAGAAATTCATTTTGGCAGATGGAGCTAGCCAAAGCATGGCTGCCTTCCGACAAAGGGGACGCAGATCACGGCCTTCTTCAAGGGGTGCTTCACCCAACAGATCCATGTCTGTGTCAAATCCACCTGCTCAAGGAGCTCCAACATCAGCTCTTGCGGCCAGCACACCCAAGGTATGACTGGAGTGGTGCAGCTGAAATTTAATGCAGTTAATAAAATCAGGCCAAGCTTGCTACAGTTCGCAATAATGCTACCCTAAAACAAATAGGGGAGATATTGGTTATTTTATTTTTCAAAGAAAGCTAACAAAAGTTTTTTATCGTTTCCTCCCTTACAATCGCAGCGGTCGTGCAAGCCTGGGAAAAAACATGTAAGCTAATTAGAAAAGTGGGGGGGAAATGAAAAAAACCATTAACCCACCATTGCATTTTAAAAAGCACACATACATTCTCTTTTGTATAGAATGCTTGTCAACTGTTCCTGCTTTGTTTTGGTGTCATTTTGTTTTTGACTTTTACTGTGAGATTCAGTATTCATAATCTGAATATTCCTCTCCATGACATTGTTTTCCATCGCCTGTTCTTCACCCTTGTGATTTGCCATTGTTCCATACAGACACCCCATCATTTAACACGCAACTATGGTAAACCATGGTTGATAAACAGCAAAACATCATCTCCTTGTAAACCTCCAGAGTGCTCTGAATATCAAGTGTCATCCACAGAGGTACAGTAATGGATGGATATTCTAGTCTAACATTCACTAAAACTATCCTGTTAGCTAACATTCACTACAGTTCCTTGCCCAGCTGTGCTGTACCTTCCTTACATATTAATGCACTCTGTTTGTTTTCAATCTTCTATCCAGCAATTTTACTTTCTCTCTTTTTAAATCTATAAATTGATCAGTCATTTGAGTTTGTTTGGGTCTTGATGAGCATGTTTTAAATTCTTTATAACTATGGTCAAACTAGGAATCAGCTCTGTACATGTGGAGTCTAAGATATTTATAACTGAAATCATCTAGTTTGCTCTAGATAAGCAGTTAGATAAATATGAGATCCTGGTGCAGTACCATTCTGCCTAATGAAAAGTTATGTGAAATGCAAGAAGTTTCAGATTCCTGCACTAACATTAAGTCAGTCCAATATTATTTTACCTAATAGTATGTCATTGGTGTTCTGGCTCTGTTTGACCCCATTTATTACTTAGGCCTCTCAGAGCTAAGCACACCAAAATCAATAAACTAAAACACTTTCTATTCCGTAAGAAAGTGAACTATGGCCTGAGTTTAGTTTCTAGCCCATCCCATCCCAACAGCTCAGAGCAAGAAATGGCATTAAAATAGAAATTATAAATACTATGCTTAGGAAACCTAGATAAAATTGTGAGATTGCATTGCAACTATCCCATATCTGCTTTACCCTGACCATTAAAAACGAGTGAAAATAAAAATATCTTACAGTGCATCTGGCTCGGTCCTCCAAAAGAAAGAAGTTCCATATATCTCAAGGAGCCGCCAAGAATGCCTCACTTCGTACCCTCATGGTACAAACGTGCATTAAGATTAATTATCTGGTGATTGTGGAACACTGGGTAGGTGGCAACCACCAAAATATTTAGGATCTGAAGTATCTTTAAGTGCCAACCCTGGGGAAACAACCCAAGCTATAATTTCTCAGTTCTCATAGGGAAATGGTTGATAGCCTTGCTTGTTTAGAACAAGGGAATATTGAGAACTGAAATACATAAAAGATTGAAAGAGTCTACTATTGATTAAGGAGCCAAAGATTAAATCAGTAGACTGTCTCCTGCTGACATAATACTGCTGTCTTCTCACATAATACAAAATTATATTAGAGTATGCAGTACATCAATGGTTAGCACTGAGAAGAATGTGTTATTACTGCTCTTGATTGTGGCGGCTACCACTTCTGCTACTTTCCCTCCAGCTTTTTCCTACAACTAACTTCTGAGATTTTTGTATGGCTTTGCTTACTAGGTAGCGAAACACCTACTTAGCTATCCTTCCCATAAAATACATTTATTACATGTATTGAATTATTACTCCTAAATATCCACAGGATTTAAAACACAATACAGAATATGAATTGCTGACAGTTTCTAATATTATGCTTTCTTTTTCTCCATACTTCAGCAGATAGCATAGCCTCAGTGTAAACTTCCTATTTGCATTTAGCTATTACTAGCAAACCAAAGAAGTGTCAGCGCAGCAATTTAATTGTCCTCCCTGGTCAGAATTAATTCCATATTGCCTTGATGACTACACAGTGATCCTTCAGACTAGTCACACAGTGATGCATTTTTCAGAAGCATAGGCATGTTACACATTGTTGCAGAAAAAACAGCAAAATATCTTGTCATAGAGTAAACTCATGATTTTGTAGTTTAGAGTTGACTTCATCAGATACATGAAGTGTGATCCTAAGTTGGCAGGTATATTACATCTTGACATGTAAATATAAAAAGCCATTCTTTTTGTTTTGTTTGTTTGTTTGTATGTTCGTTTATACAATGTCATCAGTGTACAAAGCACCTTACCAAGTTATGTAAGCAAAACCAGGTTCTTGCTCTCAAGAAGCTTATAAACTAAAAATTGGTAACTGGGAAACATTGAGGGAGGGAAGGAAGAGATACAGTGACAGGTAAAGTGCTTTACATACTAGATATTATTACCATTTGGTTCCCTTTCCAACTCATTAACTAAATATTCCTATGTCATCACTTTTTGGAATAGCTTTTTCTTTGCCATGCATGTTCCGAAGAAGGTGATATGGATGGAGTCCTAAAATCAGCTCTTGTTTGTTGCAGAACATAATGGGTTTGTTTCATTCAGTTCTCCTTGTGTCCTACAGGGGACTCCAATACAAGGGAGTAAACTTAGATTGCCAGGATATCTGTCTGGGAAGGGTTTCCATTCTGGAGAAGACAGCAGCCTCATTTCAACAGCAGCTACAAGAGTCAGGGCACATTTTGCAGGTGAGCACTGGAGAGCTTGGAATAAATGTCTCTGGGATGCTAGTACCTAATGCAAAGAGTAAAAAGTAGACTACTGCATGTACACACATTGCGTGGGATCTGCTTCTTTGGGAGGCTGAAATGTGGCAGATCCTGCTTTGAATCAAGGCCTTGGTCCTGATGAAATTCTGGTTCACTGAAGCTGGGATGTAAAATTGGAACTGCATATTGATATCATGTCTAACTTGTGAGTTTCATGATAGCAGAGCAGAAGGAGCTAGAGTGAAAAGTTCCACTTGTGATGCAAAGCACTTTAAAAGGGAAATAATTGGCATTGAAAACAGTAGATTGCTCTGACTTGTATCCACCAGCTGCGCATAACAGAGGGGCTCTGGTGTACCCATGTAGGATTGAAACAGGGCATACTTGATGTGCCCAGTGGGTAGCATCCAGAACATCCCTGCTGAATGTGACAAAAGACCCATGCAGTCTAGCATCATGTTTTCACGATGGCCAATCAGGCTGGGAAGCCCACCATCAGGATGTGAGTGTAGCAACAGCCTCCTTACCAGTGAAACCCAACCACTAGTGTTCAGAGATAGAAGCTGCCATGACTAGTAGCCACGGTTAGCTTTATCCTCTGGTTGGTAATGAAAGAGCAGCACTCGCTTGAGTAGACTTCTAGCTGCCCATAATGGAGCACCATGAAGCTCTTGATGATGCCAGGACAGAATCAGCCTTCGTTATCCCTGCTCACTCTAATTGCAATGGCTGTATTTCTCCTCCTCATGCAGACACCAGAAAAACACCAAGCAGACCTGGAAGTCGAGCAGGAAGCAAGGCTGGCAGCAGAGCAAGCAGCCGCCGGGGCAGTGACGCATCTGATTTTGACATTTCAGAAATCCAGTCTGTGTGCTCGGATGTATCGGAGACTGTTCATACCCCAATTAGGCCAACACCCCGACCCAATTCTCGCTCAGCATCTGGAAAACCTTCCAAAATTCCAACTCCACAAAGAAAGTCGCCGGCCAGCAAATTAGACAAGTCCTTCAAGAGATAGTGTGGTTGGCTCTGTCAAGACCACCTTTTTTCCTGTGCATTAAATATTTAAGTTTTTAAGATGTAAAATATTCTGTAGAAATTATTGTGAAATATTACGAGAGTTGGATTTTTAATTTTGCAGATGGCCTTATTTGTGTATTTGTCTTGTTTATTTTATGTGTATGATTTTTGTCAAATTTTGTTTCGTTTATGCCATATCATATGTGAAAAGGAGAAAGTTTTTTTCCAATGTAACTAACGGTTGTTTGCAGTAATGTGTAGAGAGATCACTAAAAGCAATTACTGAATGTACAATTGTCTTTGCGTCCTAAGTCAACAAGGCCTGTCACTTCATCATTAGATTAACAGTAAAGGATACCTCATAACTTTGTCTTAATACAAATGAAAAAGACAACAGTCAACATTATGCATTTTGAACTAACGCAGTGGACTCGAAGAGGCATGTGGCAGGGATACTAAGAAACAGAAGACACAGTTCATACTGCAGTTAATCAAACATTATCCTACAGAGAATTCACAGAGAGAGTTACTTAAAGAGCACTTGCCAGTACTTCAGTACTCCAATATTTTGCAGCATTTTCTGTGCCATTGCTTTAAAGGCCAGACACCATCTGGAATCTAGAATTATTACACTTGTATCAGAATGCCAGTATAATCTGCATTCACGTCAGCGTGAGGTTTTCTTTTGCTTGAGTGGATGATAGCACTGTATCATTGGACTCATTTTATATCAAAGCAGTTTTGCTTGCAGAAGAAAGGGGGGGGGAAATTATGAAATAAAGCTTGTCCCTTCTCTTTGTTGCTACTGTATTCCTTATATCCCAAGGAGGTGTGTGTTCTGTGTCAACTTTACATCGTACATGATTTGAAAGATTCAGATCATTACTTTCAGAACAACCCTTATTTTTTCCCATTTCTCCATCACATTTCATGCAATCATTGGATTCCTTCAGTATACCAATTTTTGCACGTCATAAGGCACAATACACCATTCATGCCTTCAACAAGAATTCCATACTGTTGACCGGTGAATAAAATAATACTGAGTGGATCAGTGTGGAGAAAGACTAGGAAGAGGTCAGATGAATTGAGGCAGAGCATGGTTTCGTTTGCAAGCAGAAAAAATGCACTAGGAAACATCTACATTTCTTCCATGGAATTCTGGTAATTGTATCTCTTCAAGAGACTAAATCTCCAGTCTTTAAAGAAATGATATGTTTCCATGGTTTTGAGGGAAAAGCTGTGAGAGTTTAGCTCCCATTTCACACACATCAAGTGATGCAGGAGTAGGTCCCAAGTAGAGCAATCCCATACAGTGGTACCTTGGTTCTCAAACTTAGTCCATACCAAAACCAAAGCGTTCCAAAACCAAGGCGCGCTTTCCCATAGAAAGTAATGCAAAACAGATTAATCCATTCCAGACTTTTAAACACAACCCCTAAAACGGCAATTTAACATGAATTTTACTATCTAACGAGACCACTGATCCATAAAATGAAAGCAATAATCAATGTACTGTAGTATAAAATAAATAAGACAGTATTGTAGATGATAAAAAAAAAATCTTACCTGCACTGATGATAGTCATTGTTTGGATGGGGGGGGGGTTGCATTTCCACAGTCACACAATCAGTAGCAGAACTGGGTTCCACAGAGTCACAAAAACAAATCAACCAAAAAAGCCTCAAAAACAAAAAATGCAAAATAAATAGCAAAAACAAAAGCACCAAACTTAATCTATTCTGGAAGTCCATTTGACTTCCAAAATCTTCAAAAAACAAGGTGCGGCTTCTCATAGGTGCAGGCACCCCGGAAACAATAGCAGACAACCACATCGGACATTTGGCTTCCGGAAAACATTTGAAAACCAGAACACTTCCAGGTTTTCGGCGTTTGGGAACCAAGGTACTACTGTATTACATGGGTCAGTGTAGTGTTGCAGTCAGATTAGGACCTGGAAGACCCAGGTTCAATTCTCCACTCAGCCATGAAGCTAATTGGGAGATCTTGGGCCAATCCGTTTCTCTCAGCCTAGCTTACCAGTTTGTGGTGATAAAATAGGGGAACACAGAACCATGTGCACCACCCTGGGTTCCTTGGAGGAAACGTCAGAGATAAAAATGTATGTGTTTGCTTATTTAACCACATAGGCTGGATCAACAACCACTGCAAGGAATACAAGGTCAAACAGGATCACAAATGATTTATATTGTGAAGGGGTGAAAAACGGTTCTTGATTATTTTTATTACAGGTTTAAAAAAGATACTTTTACTCCACAGTATTGACCCACTTTCCCCTCTTCTTTTATTACATTACATATTTCCCTTACACTCATGAAATGACAGAGCCTTATGGACTCCCGCTGCTAAGCATTCCCATAGCACTTTTATTTTTAAAGTGCTTTCGAAATCTTTAAAGATTTAGATTTAAAGTTGGGTTGTAAGTTAGGTTGCTCTTGCTGTTGTTTCCCATTGATACATGGGAGAGTGAGGCTGATTTGCTCAAGATCACACAACCATTATGACACAGGGACTTTAACTCAGCCTTCCTGGATACAAGTTCTTCATCTTGGTCCCAGGAACTCCCAGCAATATTGCAGCAGGGCACAGAGAGTATCCAGGTGGTAAAAACTAGGTGTGATCATTCTATATTACACTTAATACCTCTGAGAATATTTGCTTCTAACACCAGAACACAATGCTTTCCTCAGCAGAAATGCCTATTTTTGGTTTTGGATACATTCTCATTATTTTTGTGTGCCTTTTACTTCTTTGGAGCATATGTGTTTAAATTAGAGATTTAATACTCCATTTGGATTTTGCCTAGCAGCAAAATAACAAGCCATACTTGCCACTAAACAGATGGTTACTTGTGGTTCCTGAACTGCTGATGAACTTGGTAAGCTTTAAATGGCTTTGTTTTCTTTGTTAAAGTTAGTCTGAGCAGCTGCCCACAATTCCAGTACAGTACTGGCAAAGCATGAGAAGTGCCCATTTGTGGGATACTAATTATTCTTTATTCTAATAATCCTCTGAAGGATTCATAGTTTGACTACAACTTGTGGGTTTGACTAGTTCAATGGATTGGTTTTCGGGAGGCCTTGCAGCAGTACATTTTAAGGTGCATTCATTATGATATGTGGTCATGTTATCAGAGCAGTCATACACAGTCCCACTTTCAATATTGTTTGCACCTGCAAGGGTTTGGAGGCAGTCATGCTTTCCATTTCCAATCAGTGTGTATCCCTTAACTTCCTGCTAAAATCCTGTAACTTTCTCTACCACAGATATTCTGGTTTATTTTTTGTTGTGCTATAGCTCTTCCAGACAGTAACAATGTGGTGGCATTGGAGCAACATTGCAGAACCAAACTAAAGCAGGATAAATTCACCTCTAATGCTCTATTACAGTGCCAAGACCTTGTTGCAGGATAAGCCCACAATAAAATAGTCTACAAGGTCCCTTACTCAGTTCTTACTGAAGCATGCATGGCAGGGCCTATACAGTTTCTTTTTACAATATAGTGGTTTGTGAAATACTGGTGTCGCAGGCAAGGATATGCAACAAAGGGGGGGGAGTACCTCAGTTTGATCATATTTGTATACTGTTCCCATTTAATGTGGAGATCTGAACCACTTAACACATTACAATTTACTGTCATAGAGATCATGTTATTCCAGGCAAATCGGGGAACTTGTATTATGAAAAACACTTGCAGCACACTTTTGCACATTGCAGTGAAAATGTGCTTTCATATCCAGAGATTTTCTACGTGCCAGTACGTTGTTTATAATGAAGCACACATTTGATCTGCTTGCCTTTTTAAAAGTCTCACCCAATCCTCGAGAGCAGCTGCATTAGAACTGAAATTAATGGCTGCCTTTAAGTCAAAAGAAGTTACATCAGCACCACTCAAGTCATTCGTTCATTGTGCTAGCTGGTAAGTTATTCTGTTCTCTTTATTTAAGGTGCTTACATTAACACTGTATCTTTTCAACATAGGTTGCTTTATTCTAACATGGCAGTCAAAAGAATGCCTGACCAGAGAGAGCCTTTATTTTACAGAGAAACAATGAAGTGCAGTGATAAGAAACTAACTAGCATTAAATTTGACCTTTACAATGCTGGACATTATTTCTGCTTCTAATATTTATTTGACACAGTCCAAGAGTGAAAATGCAAAGCAGTTTCACCAATATGATCCCTAACTATTTCAGAGTGTGGCCTGGCAAATCACCAGAAAACTCTAGGCCTCTGAATGTGGTGCCCTCCTAGTCAGCCTCGGTTTACCTCAGAAATGCTTTGATGATTTTTTTGCACTTCCAGCAAACGACTATAACAAACACGATTCTGTTTTCATGCCTTTCATGGTGGAAATGTCCCAAATTTGATTTTCATTTGTAATGCCTCATTCTTATGTCTGGCCATTTTCACTAAATCCTGCTGCAGGTTATATGTTGTGAAATGAATGGCAAATAGGGCATTTTGAAGTGTCAGCATTTTTTTTACAATCATTAAGAAGAGTTCAGGTTTTCTTATTCCATCTTTGATTCTGGCTGAGGCAGAAATAGCCTTTGAAATGAATTTTCAGAGGCTTCTGTGTATTGTCATGAGTAAATGCAAGAAGTGAAGTGACAAGTGAAGAAGCAAAAATAAATATACGTTAATCAAGCCTCTTCAGACCAAAGAGAAGCACTTGTGCAGTCCATACTTCTAAACTGAGGTGATCTTGGAATGCGGAGATGATATTGTACTTCCCCCTCTAGCTTTCTCACAAGCCAAAAATTGTGATATTAATGGGAAAACCTTTCTTTAGACTAACTGTTTGCGTGTCGAGACCCCGAAGCCACCCCTTTCTTTAGACTAAATAACTGTTTATTGCAGCTTTTGAGCAAAACACAATCTATAGAAGGAGTTAAAATAGGGAGGGGAAGGATATGAGGGAGATGGGTTAAGGTGTTTTCATCATACAGTGGTACCTCGGGTTAAGAACTTAATTCGTTCTGGAGGTCCGTTCTTAACCTGAAATTGTTCTTAACCTGAGGTACCACTTTACCTAATGGGGCCTCCCACTGCCGCCGCGTGATTTTTGTTCTCATCCTGAAGCAAAGTTCTTAACCTGAGGTACTATTTCTGGGTTAGCAGAGTCTGTAACCTGAAGCGTCTGTAACCTGAGGTACCACTGTATAAGTAGCTGGAAATATGAATATACCAAACTGTCAGTTATGATGCATAGAACACAATAGAAGGTGCCCAAATGTTCTCAGTTTTGTGCAGAAGGTGATGGCTGCTCCTTCCATTGTTGAAGCACCATGCATTTGTCTATCCATCATGCATGCATGACCCAATAGTGAATTTTGAGTAGGGGGAACATAATTCGACCAATTGTAGAGAGGTTTCTAGTACTCAAGACATATTCACACCATATGTTTAAAGCACTCTGACCCCACTTTAAACAGTCATGGCTTTCCCAAAGAATTCTGTGAGCTGTCATTCATTAAGGGTGCTGAGAGTTGCAGGGAGACCCTCTATTCCCTTCACAGAGCTACAGTTTACAGAGTTTCCATAGAAGAAGTGTGCACTGTTAAACTACTATGGGGAATTACAGCCAGGCAGCTCCACATTACATGGTAAGGGGACCTGATTTCTGTCTCGCATGCTGTCACCTGGGGGTTGGATATAACTATTTGCAGCAGAGCCTCTGTGGTCTCCAGTAAGTCTGGAACACTAGTTTTTTCCTTGATGAGACATACCCTTAGTTCAAAGGAGGCATTCATGGAGAAGAACCACTGATA